CGGCGCGGTGCAACAAACATTCTACATTCTACACCATTCGCCCCCGACTCTCTCCCGACTCCAGAAGTGAGCCAGGGGCAGAATGGAACCTGGTCTCTGCAGATACGGCAACGAATATTGAAAAAGAGATTCCCTGCATCGAAATCATTCGAAATTCTCCGACCGAGTGTCTTTTGGACCGAAAATCCGGGGCCGAAGTATTTCGTCCTGATCTGAAGCAGTTAGCTTTCAATATGTTCACGCCGTATCCGCAGTCGATCAATCATCGCCTTGAAACAATGCTGAAATGACTCCCATTGAAGGAACTCGCCTGTGAATCATTCATCGGCTGCTATTGAGAGCCAGCTGACGATATTATAAATAAGGATTTCGTTTCAAAATGGAGAGTTTCCTACCCCTGAAGACCGCTAGGCCTTCCTACTTTTCTACCATGAGAGCCATGATTTCCCCGGACTGAAATGTTCACCCCCCATATAGTATATCAACTCGCTCTTCCCCGAGACATTGCGAACTTCGCGGCCGCTCGCTCGATTATAACGTCAAGTTTCCCGCTTCTAAGATTTTGCCGGAGGCGTTCTATTCAAGAAATTCCTCTCTCATATTTTCGAAGAGGTGATGTCGCGTGTTTCGACGAGTTTCTATCTGGGAAGTCATATTCCCTATTTTGTTTCCATCCAATCCGAACGAATCGATCCCTGACTTCCTCTTCCGAAATTCATCGCATCCGACGGATTTCCCAGAATGGATGAGACAGCACCCATGTTTAGCGGAGAATTATTATGTGCTTACACGATTACGTGGTTCTACGTAAATCTACGCCCGAATCGCTCTTTGTTTACGGAACCTTCCGGTGACTTCTCGAATGCTTCCCCATGCAGTGAGCGGATCTAGATCGGGTAGTACGCCATGTTATCCGAAGACTGAATAACGCGGGGTAGACTGAAGACTCACTATTCAATCTGACCGAAGTCCTCTGCTGACTAGCTGGAAAATGTCGGATTCTCGCGGATTCGAATATTCAGCGGGACATGCAGAAACGGTGCCATTAGCGGTGTTCGGAAGTGGTGTCAACGTTTCGGTGTCTCGAGTGTCACGTCGGGTGAGGTGTTGATGACTCCATGCCGATTTCGAAGACGGCGGCGACGACGACGCCGATAGACCTCAATAGGGGGCCTCTCGCTACTTGGCTCAAGCAGACTGGCTAAGAGGAGAAAAAAGTGGAATGAGGACCGCCGCTCGCTGCGCTCACTAGCGCGGAAGAGTCCCGTACGTAGAAATCAGCGCGAGAGATCGAGCTGCGTTCACGTTCACGCGTGCCGATCGTCGCCATCAGAACTCGAACAAGACGCGGCGCTCTACCTCCTGTCCATCAGCCAGTGCATCGATTCGATCGTCCAACTATTCGCTCGTCTGTTTTCCTCGCCGGCATTCCGCTTGTTTAGTTGTGTAATCCAAAGCTAAGGAGTGGCAGTCCCGTTTGCTGCATCAGCGTGGATGATATTTGGTCTATCTCGAAGCTTTCGGATGAATCGTCCTGATCCGTTACGGCAAGCCCCCGTGTTCGCGGTCGGTGCGGAATGTTTGCAGTTTCTCTATCGGTCCTCACACCCGACCTGACCCGGGTCGCGATCGAAAGCCCGAGGAGATTGTTTCACCCCGTACAACGGTACGCCTGCTGTCTTCGATTTCGAAGAAGCCCGAAGACGAAGAATTGAAAGCCAGTGGAAGGAGACGTCACTCCGAGAACCTACACTGCGCTTGCTGTAGGCTGCAGCGTTCCGGAGGAAACTTTCGACGTTCGTCGGTCCGTCTGTCCGACTTCTGGTATGAATCAGAAGCCTAAACGCCCACGAGTGGCTCTGAAACTGTCTTCGAAAAGAGTGTTGACTGACGGTATTCGACGAGTGACGGTGATCATGACGGCTCTCATTCCGTCTGGATATACAGCGGCGGGCTCGCATTTTGAAAGCTCAATCCACGGCTGCGAAACGTCCACTGGATACGAATCATCGTCGTTCGTTTCATGATCAAATCGGCTCGGATGTTTGACACGTATTCGATCAATCACACAGGCCACTAGCGTTCACTGCCCGAACGACGACGACCAGTCTACATATAATTCGACCATTCCAGTCGCGCGGGAAAATCGGAATACTCTCGAAATACTTTTTTCATGATCGCTATTTGTTCCCATCACTCGACGGGATCCTGACGAACTCTACTGTGTCCCGATGGAAATCATATTTTCACTTATTCGCGACGGCTTATGCGACGGCGTGGCTCGTGGGAAGAGCGGCGTCTACGCGACACTTCCGCGGATACGTATTTTCTGATGATTTCACGAACGTATGGAACGTTTTTCTGAGCGAGATGGTTAGCTTCTCGAGTTGGATCATTATTCATCGCCCTCTCGACGGGGGGCTTCGGAGAGCTAGCAGGAGCAGAGTAATAGAAATGCGTACGGTAATATGACCGCTGTTGCCGGTTTTGGAGGGCTTGGGAAGGGAGAATGTTGGGCAGGCTTGTGTAGAGGAACAAGATCAGCGGGAGAACGGTACGACGAAGTCGCCCTCCCCAGAAGCTTGTTCCCCGATATACCGGTCCCATGCACGTCGGTCGGCGCCGATTTCAGAGCATGCACCGCACGATTACGAATTTTTCGAACCAGTCGCGATTCTGCCACCTCCGAATTATTGACAAAACAAACAAATTCACTGCACGCTGCCCCGGAAAGTCGTGTCCGTTGCGGCTCTGCGAGGCGGCTGGCTTCGAGCTGGAATTTTTAATTATCGATCCAGTGGAGCGAAAACCGCCTCTGGCTTCTATCAAGCTCCGCCGAGCTGATCGAACTTGAGCGCGCTACAATTAGATGGATGGAGGAAAAGTATCAAGAGCTTCAGTTCCCCAAACCCAAATCTCATCGCGCCTGACTGTTGCTCGCATTGTTGAAGTATTGTATTTCAGACTGACCGTTCGTTACGATTGTATTCTTCTCGTTGATTCTTTTGTCCGACCGAATTTCGGTAACACGAGCTCGCAGAAATCGAGCCAGATCGGTCAGTTCTATCTGAGGAAGGCAAACAATTTTTCATCGATAAGGAAGCGACGACTGCCTCCTGACGGAACCGAAGAACCGTGGTCGACTCGGGGAATCTCTTCCCTAATCAGGGCTGATTGATATTCTAGAGACACCTTCGCAACCAAACTCTGAAAAACCCCGAAATGCTTGCGAATGACCCATTGGAGCTACAGGTAGAGAGGGAGGAATAGCCCCAATAATAGGGCGAGATGAGCTTCCCCGATGTCGAGCCGTATCCCCGCAAGGGAGAAAGCTCGTCGTTGATGACGACAGCACCTTGCGGGCGATTATCTGGAATCGAGGATCAAGCGGAGTGTGAAAAATTGAGAATTAAGAAGATTATTTGCGTCCAATCTGTCCGATCAGATTACTTAAGTCTGATCAGAAGCTGCGCGAGGCGAGGATCGCGTCGAATTCCCGATTCAGAATCCGCAATCGACCTCCTGCAGGCGGGGCTAGAGCTTCCCTATGATCAGTCGGATCAGGTTCATTCATGTTGCGATGTGCCTATCACCTATCACCCTTCCCACTCAGCTCCGTTCATATCTACGCCGCTCCGTGATTTTGCTCCGGAGCCTTTCTCTTGAACGAGCTCCTGGCCGCACTTGGATCTCGGCAAGAATGCAGTCCTGCTCTCAAACGCTAATCGCTCTCAATGGGAATCGGACTCACGGCCATGAGGAATTCGCGCTACGACCCACACGATAAAACATCGAGTTTCGATGGAAACCGATAGTCGATCGTCGAGCTCCTACAAGGCCTGATAAGCGATCGAATCAGTCGAATTCTGCTGTACATCATGCCGGTCCGTCGGCGGAGCAGCAGAACATTTGATGTAGATCAGATTTTTTCGCGTTCCTGTCCGTCATCCCTGATTGCTAGCCACACATCGAGCGTGTTTGATGAATCGCGATCACGCTAACGGACGCTCCGAATATCGGGAGCTGTTAATTGATTGACTTCTCCGTTGGCGATGCAGGCCGCGTGCACGTTCCGTCAAAAGCCATCTGTCGGAGTCGTCCGAGAAATCCATCGATCCATCCACATGGATCGCTAGCAATGACTTATATTCATTCAAGTTATATTCATTCAAATCATGAAGAAATATAAGTTGCTTCCAAAATGGTTCCGCGGTCCAGACCTCTCAGTGCAGGTATGGCAGGTCGGTCGAGGAGTTTCTCGTGATCCCGCGGAGAATCCTTGACCTGTGACTCCTTCGCCTCCAGAAATAATTTCCCGTTTCCGTAGTCGGTCGAATAATTTCGATGAGGGAAGGATTTAGTTTGGAGCCATCGTATGGTGACACGATTCCGTCGCCAGGGGCTGCGTGAGAACGTTCCCACGGCGTTAGTCCGCAGATTAATTTCATCACCAATGCGCCGATAACGTTTGATTTTTATCCAGAGGGGATGCGTTCATGCTCTTATCTCATTATTCCGTTATCGGAAGTTCTGAAAAGCTGTTCAAGGATCTGGGCCCGAACGTTTTCTGTTTACCGTCTAGTTTGCTAGGCGATAGAAATTCGCCGACATCGTCAGATTCAGGAGAGTGGCGCAGAGTTCAATGTTCCCAGCGTGAACCTATCGGCTTATCTTCATGCACGATAGTGTATTGTAATCTGTGATCTAGCTGAGGAATAGATCGGCTCTAGTGGTGAAAGCTCATCGCTAGTCTGAAGCAATCACTGCCAATATACGATCGTTGAGATAGAAAGTCGCAGAATATCGACGTCCTGCAGCTGTTCATGTTCCGAAAATCCTCCTGCAAGCTTCAAAGATTGGGGGAAATCGACAGGCTTAGGAATTAGGAAACGGGTTCAAGGCTGCCCGGAGAGACAGTCATCAGGGACAACTTTGATGTTTTAAGAGGGTATGCGTTATCGCCTCCTTTCAAGAGTCCTCATTCAGTTTTTCATTTTCAGAAATCATGGAATCGTAAGTTCTGTGTTCTGTTTGACACAAGTCCACAAGGTGTCCGTCGGCTCGAGTTGTTCGACAGCGAGGAGCAGCTTGCCAAAGGCAATAGCGGAAAAATCCTGGTGCTTGAGGATGCAGTGAAAATTCACACAATGCCAAAAAACAACAAAGAAACTAATCTCTTCGAGGTGAGTTCTATAATCTTTCGACAAATCTGAACGACTGCGTCGATAGCTTGCCTGCCATTCTTCGTTCGCTATCTCTCTTTCTTTCCTCAAGCGAAGACTCGGACTAGCGACGCTTGTCTCAAAAAAAAGCCGGGCGAATCCGCGAATTCGGATTGCTTAACGGCGTTTTATCCCCCTCCAACAATCGGGAGCCTGTTGAGAGATCGCGATGATGTTGCATCATACGCGTGGTACGAAGGGCGTAATCCGCCCAAACTAGCGATGCCGCGCAATGAGCTTAGACGTAAATAATTTTTTCGGCCTTCCCGAAAGGATGACGTGGCTCGAAAGCTGACTTTGTTCTCGGAAATGCGGTCGACAAAGCTCCAATATCCTTTTCCCCTTAAATGGATCGATAACTCTCCCTTCCCTCAGTAAGGCTGTTCCTCTGTGAGATACTCAGCAAGGCTGTAGCGCGTATACACGAATCCTACCGTCAAGTAATCGCAGCGTGATCCCCGAGTGTTGAATTGAAACAACTTCCTCCCGGAGAGTTCTTGCATCCCATGATTCCAGACGGAAAAGCATATTGGTACGCGAAACCCGGCTCAAATCCAAGAAATTCCGCAACGATGAATGATTTCCGCCTCCCGTTGTTCGAAGAGCATGACGCGTTCCTTCAAATGAGCGCCTTGACAAAACACAACAGTAGTCACCCGTGGGTTCGACGTCGTGGGAGTCACCATTCATATCGCGTATCTTCCGTCACCGCGAAGATGAAGATGGGGAGTCATGCGTCCGGTATCTTCGCTCAAAGTGACTCACCGTAAATTCGATTTGTCCTCAGATCACCACAGAGAAGCGCACCTTGCAGTTGCGCACGGAAAATACGAAGGAACTTTCGGAGTGGATCGAAAAGCTACGGAAAGTTTGCTTCCCCGAGAAACAGAGCATCGTCAACATGAACAACAACGGAACTAAATCGAATGGCTACTCAGTCAAGGAAAATGATCTCTACGGAGCGGTCGAGGACACGTTCCCTGTCAAGTTGATCAGCACCCCCGCGTCGGAGAAGTGTGGCTTGGATCCCTCTGAGCTGAACTACGTCATAGTTCTGACGCCTGATTCGATGATTCTCAAGTTCGGAGACTTGAACAATTTCTACGTGAACGACGATCAAGCCGACAAAACGATCTACGAATGGCATTATCCATTTATACGGCGCTACGGTATCGTCAATGGTTTCTTCAGCTTCGAAGCCGGCCGCAAGTGTCTCTCGGGAGAAGGTTCGTTCATTTCGATTCATATCCTTCGGCTTTCTCGGAAAGTACGATCGCCATTAGGACAAGTTTCCATCTCGGTGAATGCTCCTCGATCCGATTATCCTCCGGGCGCTTCCCTGGGAACATCAGAGATGTTCATGCCAGTTCCCATGAAGACAAGAGTATAATTCTTCCCGCAGGACTTTTCTCCTTCGATGCTCCGGATGTTCGGAAGATCTTCGAGCGTTTGGCGAGCTTCATGAAGTTGGCCGGGGAGAAGCGTAAACAGATGAAAGCGGCTTCCTCACCCGTGCAAACCGCTGAAGATATTCACTTACCAAAAAGCAACGTTTGCGAAAAGGTAAACCCTCAAATCGAATGAGAGCGGCTTCTTCTGTTGGCTGCCCGGAACTTCAGAAGTCTGGGCTGCGGACGATCGCATCGGTTCCGTCCACCCGATAACAGGGCTTCTTCTCGGAGCTGCGGACTCAGGAATGCGCGATTCTTCTAACTGAGGAATGTTTTTTTTCGCTCAGGTGCCACAGGACGAGAATTGCGAGGGCTGCAAGAAACTTAGCAACGGGAACGCGGAGAGCCCAGATCAGGCGATTCTTTTCGGTGAGTTCATCCGGAGGTCCCAACCCCAATACATTTCTGAGACTGTTCCTCCAAAACGGGCGATGAATTCGAGAGTTCTATTTCCATTATTGTCTCGCATTTACAGGGAGGGCATGCGCGGTCCCGCAGACTCCGATCAGTAGCGCGGTGTACGCAAACGTCACCGATCTGGAAACCGTGAGCGTGGATCATATCGTCGTGGGCGACGGTGTCGAATATGCGCGAGTTATCAAATCGGCTACAGTAGTTCCACCGCCCCCACCTCCACCAATCCAAAGAATCACGCGGATGGATTCAGTCGAGAAACTAGAAGACGCTTGCTGACGTTCATTTGTACATAAGTCAGGCTGTCGCGGTAGACTGCTACCAGAGTGTACTAACGCATTATCGGAATAAGAAACGACGAGTTCGGTTGAGCGAATGGGCTCGACTGAGCGGATCCATTTGACCCCGCAGAGAAGGACGGAAGCTTCGTAATTCGAAGCGTGTGACCTTGGTCTTGCTCTCCTCCTCCGTGGTGTTATCCGATCGCGCTCAGACACGCCGAACTCAAATCATGATTATTGATCATTGTCGTCGATGATCCGAATGCATTCGTTGAGTTTGAATAAAATATATATCATCATCAGAGAAAAAGTAAAATCACAAAACTTCGTTCAATCATTCTCCACGCCGTGGATGTCGATAACCCGAATCCCCATTTGTCAGATTCAGTGCATTTAGAGGGAGTCGATCAACTTAGGTGCAGCCTCGATTGAATGTTTTCGTTCCCAAACGCAAGGAAGACACAGCCTTAAAGTATTAACGTTTTCGAAAATTCAAGCTCTGTATCCTTCATTAGCGGGAATATCGTTCCGGAAGACCAATTCTATCTCCTCGACAAGGTCTCTCTATCTCCTTCTCAAAAAAAGTGATCGTCAAAGATGAACGTTCAGTACAATACGGATTCAATCTCTATGACGACGGAAGGCTGTGGTAAAATGCTCCGAAGCTGATCATCTGCTAGTCGAGAGGGGGTCCAGGAGCAAAAATCCCTCATGTTCGTTGAGCTTCGAGCCAACACTTCTCCAAGCAGTTATTGAAATCGCAGAATTGTTGATATCCCGTGACAAGCTGTTGTTTACCCTCGGAGTTCCGGGAGAAGGCAAGCAGGGATTCCGGAGATATCCTGGGTAAACTATTCACCAACTCCGGATCTGCCTTGCCGATGGCGTCCATGACATTAGCCGAGTGAAGGATGAAGTCTCGAGCAGGCTCGGGAGACTTCGATCCCATGATAATTTTCTTCATTGCTTTGAGCACCAGATCGAAGCTATCCGTGACTTGCGGTAACGAGCTCTCGAGACGTGCGGTGGAGACTTTGAAGGCTAACGAGAATCTCACACCGAGTTTTACACAACAACTACCGGTGTAATTACAAATCGACAGCCCGAACTTCTGGAAATATTCGTAAACGACCGCGCTCACGTCATCGCTGATCGAGTCGTGCAGCTCGGCGTAGGGACCTGCGGTGGGATCTCTCGGTGCCGCGGCTCTACTGGGAGTCACTGTGGAAGTTTTCGGAGCTTCCTGCCTCCCGAGACCCGTGGCGGTTCTTTGCGCCACCGGCCGTCTGGGACTCATGGTGAAGGGCTTTGATGTTTCTGCAGTCTCGACAGGCTTGAAAGTACTCCGGGTCTCGCGACCTTGGGAGAATGAAAAATAAATGGGCTCTGCAGGTGGCTCCGGCTCGGGCTCCGCGACCTTCTTCCGGGTGGTTTTCGTCTGCCTTGGTGTTCTCAGCTTCGGCGGAGGCTCAGGGTCTGTATCGGACGAGGAAGTCTCTTCAGGGTGACTCACCGGTCCGACTGCCGGTGGTGGAACGAACGACCGCGTACGCCCAGAGATGCTACTGGACCGCGCATCTGGCCTAGGAATTTCGGGAGCCTGTTTCGGTAGGCTGGGCGTCGGGAGCAAGACCTTTCTCGCGGGTTGGAAGCGAGAAGGAGCTGGCTGCTCGGGCGCTCGCCAGGAGTATTGATTCTTGTGCGGCGCTGCGCGTTCCTCCTCCGGGAGGAATTGTCTGAAATACGTCGCGATACCACCCACAAGTTCCGCGCGGGTCTCCATGTTGGGGAAATAGCTGGCGATGTTCCGGCAGAGAATTTCCGCACTGTTCGCGAAACGGGCGAAAAATACGAATTTCTTCTCGTCCTGAGGGTCACCCCTACAAGTGACTTCGTATTGTTGTAGGGGGGTCAACGTTTGAGCAACACGATCGTAGTTCAAAACGCCTGCGGGAGAATGTTGCGATGATTCGGATACTGAGATGGGGGACATGAATTGCGGCTCGATGCATGAGTCCGGAGGGAAAGTCAGGAGCGAGACCGGAGTCGGAATCATAGAGAATGAAAGACTCACTGAACGGTCCGGTGTAAGTTGTGAGGAGACTCTTATTTTTCAGCAAGAGGGAGAGAACGGTCGCCAACTTTTCCGAGGGGAAAATTTCTCGCCGCCTTTCCATCGGTAGGGGAGCGAGGTGTGCCAGAACTCCTTTCAGGACAATGGATGCCACAACGACCTCAGTAAACCTGTGGGATAAAATTCTCAACGTCAATCGAGCACTCTCCGGCGAGCATTTGACTTCTGGAATCATTCGATCCAGATACTTACTGGGCAAGAACGGTGTCACCGATGAGAACAGCTTCCCTTCTGACGTCGCTCGTGATAATGGGCGAGAGCCAATGGTATTTCGCTATGAACTCGAGGCAATTGAGCGTCGAGATCCTCATCATCGTCATCTTCACTTGGAGGTTCTTGTCGTCAGTGACGACGATGACGTTATCCCCTGAAGAAGAAAGAGTAGTTACTTAATCAGGCTCCGGAAACCTCGTCGTTAAAATTGCTCTGATATTCTCGCGGTACGCGGTGGTTCCCCCTAACCTCTCGCTCGGACGAGTTCTGCACTGTTCAGGATGTAGTCGTCATTGATCCGACTATCCGCTAGTTGTTTGGTCGAGGATGCGAAGTCCTGTCCCTCGATGTGACGGTTCTTGTCCTGCAGAGCTCCATGCACCAACCTTATTGCGGCCATCGCGGACTGTTTCAAATGCGCTTTCCATTTCGATAAAGAATCGAGCTCTCGGATCACGACGAAGAGCGCGAACATGATCAATTCTTCGTAGTCTGGGGTGCCCTGTGGGATTGATGCATCATGGGTTATCATATCTCGAGCGTGGAACTCCAGGAGTATGAGATAAGCCAATGCCTCATGACTTCAGAGAGTACAATGAACTCTCCGAACGAGGAGGTATCTCTCTACCTTCAATTTATCGCTGGCCAAGAGTGCACGACAGTATGGGAGGATTCGGAGGTAAGCATTCGTGTCGAAAATGATGCAGGTTTTCGGGGGTGTGCTTTCCGCACATTCCATGTCAGACCCTTCTTCGGTCGCGACGGCTCCAGCCCCCTGTGGATCAAAGGTCGGGAGAACTTTAGGGAAAATTCGCAACGAAACACGCCTGTTTCGTTACGGAGCTCGGTGGAAAGTTATCCATTGATCGGAAAAATCGATCCGACTGCCATTGTTGTCAACCTCGAGCGAGCTCTCCAATCCCTGGACGTCTCACAACAGAGGGACGCAGAATGGAAGTACCGAACGATATAAAGTCAGTCACTTGAAAGTTTCCCAACACTGGGTCTGTGGGGACAAGAGATAATCGATAGGGACCTTGTTCTTCTTGGTGGTGATGTCCACAATCTCATCCGTGACTTCAGTTTCGCTCTCGTCGTCATCTGAGACGTTCCGCCTTCTGGCAGCTCTTTTCAATGGCGAGCCGCCTCGCGGAGGAACGGTGATGTTCAACAAGTTTTTGTAGTGGAGAACCAACGCGGTCTGCTTGTCGTCCAAAGCCTGGGAAAGAAATGATTACTCTCGAGTCGTTGAATGGGAGGAAAAAAATTATCGCTTGACTGCCACAGCTACTCTAATGGAACTCGCCAAAACGCCCAGGTTGTCGTATGAACCTACTTCTCATCTACTCACCCTGCCCTGCTCCGTAGCATCAAATACGCCCTCGTCCCTTAGGCGCTTTCCGAAGTTCCTTTCCTGACCGTTCTGAGGTTTCGATAGTCTCTTGACGACTTCGTCAATTTCCTCGTCAGTCACTCGAATTCGTTGGGCGTCGTCTTCGTCATTGTCATCAGACAACTCCACCGTAATCGCAGATTTCTCGGCCGTTCCCTTTTCCCGAAGCTTATTCAACACGGAAACCTGGTTCGGAGTCAACGGGCCTGCAGACTGAAAATCCCTCATGCCATGAGTCGGAGGAAGCTCATTCTCTTCTTGATCATTTATCAGCTGATCGGTTCCGACGCATTCAATTTCGACCGAATTTTTGATATTCCAGCTCACCTCTTGAGCAGCACACGGTGCGGGTTCAGGTTTCTTCGGCGTCGCTCTTGGTCTTGCGGGTGTTCTCTTGATCGAGGCTCTAGCTTTCTTCTCTTTGATTTGCTCCATGACGGCGATCATGGTCGCGTTCAACGGCTGCAATGAAGCGATCGATTTCATAGTCTTAATTTAAACTGGATTCTCGACGCGCAGGTCAGTACGATCAGGTCGGCTACCCCGACCCGAGTTCGACTCCGTTCGGGCAGAACTTCGCAGAAATCAACGACGTGCTCACCCCCGGGTCCTCATCCTCCTCTACCGGCTGATCCACGAGCGATCGACGTTCAGGTATGGACGGCTGAAAAAAAACAGAAAACTGTCGACTCGATTCTTTCGGACCCTTCCATGGAATAGAGGAATGAGCCGCCCTGTTCACTCGAAAATGAAACTCATTCCGAGAGACTCACTGGTGGTTCTTCCTCTTCTTCACTGATCTCAACGGGAACAATCTTGACCGGGACCTTGCTTCGGGCTTTGCTCTTCGCTCCGGGGGCTTCAGATGTCTGCGAGAGACAAACTTCTGTCAAGAAACTAGGAAATCATGAGGAAAGGGGATTTCAAATCGACCTCATAGGAGATGCTCACCGATGGGATTGCTCCCAAATTCGTCGTCTTCCTCCTCCCTCGGACAGCCGGCTCCTGGACGGTTGATGTCACGGTGGATTCCTGATGATTATGGTGGAGCGGATCACTTATCGGAAGTTTACGGAAAGATTCGACTCAATTCGAAACACGTTTTCATACACTTACGGGGTCGGACTCAATTTCTACGACATCCTCCTTCGGCGGAATGACCTAGAATAGGACTCGATTCTCAGATATGACGAATTCATGATCAGGTACGCGACACATAGAGATTGATCACGGAAGAGAGTAGAGTCCTCCTTACCGCTTTGGGGGGTTTCAAGGATTTCCGACCCTTATCCTTGGCTGCTCCTTTCTCCTCCAACATCTGCAGCACTCGGAGCTGCGCCTCATTCATGAACTGCAACGAAAATATTCGTCTTCATGGGCGTCATATTGTCTCGTCGAGGTTTTCGACTCAGGATTCGATGTAGAAGCTGGCACTGACCGTATCCGCGACCGCCTTGCCAGGCTCCTGGTCGGCTTCCGTTTTGCGTCCTCGCCGTACAGTTGCTTTCGGGGGGACCGAGGTCGATGCCTTTGTGGGAACGGGAATAATTATTCGGGCGCTGATCTCGAACGCTGCACCCGAGCTCTAAGTTCGTGATACTGGCTGTCTCTTGAAAGAATTCCCCCGTCTGTAATTCCCCTGTCTTGCTGAGCTCTAAACCACTCACCTCCACAACGGTGGAATTCAGCGTTTCATCGGGCTTCCCAGTTTTGCGTCCGCGTCGAGTCGCCGTTTGCGCGGTTTCGCCAGCTCCTTGCTGTGAATGGAAAATTTGAATTCTCGACCGAAGCATCAAGGACGAGAGATCTATCTCATTGCTCTCGATGGGTCTGCTGTAACGGTATCTGGGGTTTACCTCGACACCTTTCGAGCTGGTTGTGGCGTCGCCTTTTCTCGCATCCTTCCTCGAGGTCGAAACCTTCGAATGAGAAGATTCCAATTTAATTCCATTCCATTCAAGGGGGGATATGACCCCGTAATCACAGGAGCAAGACACTACCGTACCTCCGGCGGATTGTTGTTGTTGTCTTCTGTTTCAATCCGTCTCCTCTTGGAATTCGAGTCGATGTCGTTGACCTGATTCGCCTAGAAGAGTGGAAGCTTGATTTGGAGCCGACCCGAATATAGCTCATGACATAAACGAATCGGCCTTGTAATTCCTACGAGTTTCATTGGATTGCTTCTTACAGATGTGACCGTGACAGTATCGGTCTTCGCTTTCCGTTTAGCTGCTTTTTTCTGCATAAGCTCTTTCTTCCGCTCTATCCGCTCGAGCACGGCTTTCTGCGCAGGGGTGAGCGGTGCCATCTGAAATGAGATACACATCATTCTCCAGAGTATCCGCGTGTTAGGGAGCGCGCTGCTCCTACAGTCGGAGTTTGAACTCATTTCTGTTTCGGGAAGGTGGGAGCTACAGGTTATACCGCCACGATCGTTCAACGCCGTCTGCATGTCGGAGGCTTCAAATCGAGATTTGGAGGAGCTCGAGCTCATAGGCAGTCGATATGATTTCCGTGCATATGCTGAGGTTGCTCATGCGGAGCCAGAGATGTGAGTTCCATATTTTGTGTTGAAGTGCATACCCGGGACACTCCTCATATCCTAAATGCTCAATACTCGTCCGTTTTGGCACCGGGACCGCTCGTGGCCCACCGTGACTTGCGTCAACAATTACAGCCATTCATCAGAGAAGAATATAAATCCAATTGTCCCTCTCCGTTGAAAACTGAGCCGGCAATAATTCGACTAACTAAGAGACGATCGAGCGCGATTCGCGGAAATTTTTTCCGAGATTCCTCCTGCACCGCTGTTGACACTACGGATTAAGAGTGCCAGAACAATCTCGGAGGTCCCGGTTACCTTTCAGAGGATGCACCCGACGGGTTCATGGATCGTAACACGGTTCAACACAGTAAAATCGTACCGCGTTCGCGTACGGTTTCTGAAACAGGCGCGGAACGCACATGTACCGCTCTCTCAAGATCGACACACCTAGCAGAAGAGCGCGCTTCTAGTGTTCTGGTTTTCGTTCGGAGCATCTTGCCATGGACTTCCCCTGGAACTATCCGGAAGGATGGATCGAGGATCCTGGGCCCGAGATCGAATCAAGCGGTATGAAAGAGTAACGATGAACTCCACAGCAATACGCGGGAAGAAATCAAGGCTCCCTCAGCTGCCCTTGGTGAGAGGCGAGACACCCTCTCCAGAAACGCAGTAGTGTGTAGGTTCCGGTCGAGGAGATCATCTGTTCGGCTCTGTCTGTGCTTGTCGACGTTCGATTATCAGCCCCTAAACGGAACGTGAAAGAGCCGAATCTCGAACCAATAAAGCCAAGTAAGCAGCTTTTTGGTACTGGAGGAAAAGTGGAAGTAGTCGCCCACCCCGCTGAAGAGCTCCGCCTCGCATGAACGGGCGTTGCGCCGCCAGTCGATCGCGTCGCGGCTCTACTGGTCTAACTTGGAAGAGACGTTCGATGGATTCGGACCTGTAGATCCGCCCGGGACTTCCGTGTCGACTCGTGATAACTCCAGGGAGCGTCAGGATTTTTCGTTGTTTTTGAGGATAGTTGTCGCGATGTCGAGATCGACCGGCGGTCTGAGTGGATTTCGGAAAACCTACCAACCCCCACCCCCGAAATCGCGGACTGAAGAAATTCGAGCCGCAGAGAGGAGAGCAAGAAAAGCGCAGAACCCGGAGGCAACTCTAGAAACGATCGGAGAAATAGACGACACGCTCTATAATGACTTCGCGCGCATCGGAATACGCACCCTGGCGACTTGGATAGCTGTTTGGATCGGCCTGTTCATGGGAGCTATCTACGTGGAGTTTGGGGCTGTCTTCTTTGTGATATCGCTTTTTTACGTTATCTGGAGATTCGGACTCCGAGAACGAAAATCGAACGAAACCAGTGCGTACTCAGTTTTCAATCCGGGAGTCAGCTCGATCCAAGGAAGCCAACTCACGGGGGAACAAATGCGCAGGAGTATGGGTATCCGCTGATGATACCCCCCTCTCATTCTCGGAAGGCCACTTCGGACAGCCAGAGCACAAAATACATATGTCGTTCCATATTTGAGTTGACGAAGAATAATTGAGGGAGAGGAACCTCGAATCATTCCACACTTCGTGTTTTCATTTCTCTCCCCTGGGTTCCAGGAGCTCGCTCGCGCTGAATATCTTGGAAAGAGTGGCTCAATCGAGTTCAAAAGCACGCAGCGGATTTTTCGGTCAGTCTACGGCGCCCTCGCCGAGAGCGATACTCCGTCTCGCCACTTGATTCGAGCTTCGAGATCGATTCCCCTCCGAGTGCGGGAGGGTAGGACGGAGAAAACGCCATCGAAGTAGGATGGCCTGATCAGAAGCGCCGCGCCCGTGGATCTCCTTGGCGACTGATTGAGCCTGATTTCGGAAACTATTCTTCTGGCGTCTGAGACAGCCTGAGTATCCTGCCTTGCCGATTCCCTCATTGGTTCGTTGCCATTTCATTCCACAATTGTCTTGCCTTTGGAAACCAATCACACGAACCGTTGTGCTAATCTGATGGAATTGTTCTTCGATCCGGCGCGCGAAGCCCGAGAAAGCTTCAGCTGGATTTCCGCAATCAAACAGCCTCATCGTACGACTCTCCCCGACCACTGAGCATAGGTCTTCGACTCATGCTCCTGATTCCTGATCCATCGGTGAACGTCTCTCATGTTGAGACAGAAGACTTCGAAAGACTTCCTTTCTTGAGCTATATGCGTTCTACCGAGAAATTCAGCGAGGACCTCCGTTTTCTTCCGGCTTTTCCTCGAAATCGGGGATGAAGATTGGCTGTGCGCAAAGTCCTAAACAAGCAACCAATGCACAGTCTGTTGATAATATCGCTGAAAGATTTGGAAGACACGACTCCTCGGATGATACTCCCATAACCTTGATTCTCTCATAAAGCCCCTCATGTTCCTCTTCACAGCGTCGTCTGAAATCCTTTGTGAACTGCTTAGTTCACCAGCTTACCCGAGGAATTAAATCGGACCTGATGCAAGCCTGCGTGGCTCCAAATGAGGACGAGGATTAACGATGCTGAACAAAATAACAAACGAATCGTTCGTTACAGAATGGTGTTCAGACGTCTCTTGAGTATGCTTGTGAACAACGAGAAGGTCATAGAACAGGTGCGTGAAGCCTCCGAGGCCATTACCGATTTCTCTTTACTGCTGTACGGGATGAAGCTCAACAATTCCTCGGGATGTCGTTCCTGATTGATAGTTCGAAACCAGAAGATCAATGATTGCTTGCTGTGCCGATGTCATCCGATGATACTTCAGAGATGCCTGTTGCCTCAGAGTCGCCGCTTCCCCCGGTACTGAATCTGACGCTGAATTTTCAGCTCTCGAATTGGCGGCCTCTCCGACTCGCTGCACGGACGACAGCTTATTTGTTCCTGCGAGGTAAAGCTCGAGCAGAGCAGATCGATTGGCCGAAGATCATCGAAGATATTCGGAGGAAGTTGAAATGAAACTTCTTCCACATACCATGTAGACAGGATGAAAAACACGAATATCTCAATTGGGGTTCCTTCGACTCGACATGGAATCTATGTACATATGAAGTATTGCTTGTTGGTCATTAAATAAATTGTTCAATAGACTCGATTGATCCCTCATCTCATATGCGAATTCGAGCGGTGAGCTTCGGTCACGCCATCCGTGATCGTTTTTATTTGCAGTTTCGAAATCGCGGAGTTTACAGTCGATGAACGATCACCATTTCACACTCAAGTGTCTCCTCGGTCTCTGATAAAGGATTTCCGATCTTTGCGGCGTGTAAATTTCTTCCAGTTTTTGGCGGCGCTCTCGCTCCCGCTGTCGTTCCCATTCGACGTGCTTCTCACGTGTCCGCGACTGCTCTACCCAACGGACGGTTTCGCCAGCATGTGTCCGTCCGAAAGAGTCCGTTGATGGCCAAAGCCGACGCCAGTAGGTACCGTCGGTCCTCCAATACCTTCATGGGTGAAGCATGATTCGTGTTAGCTAATTAATCCCTCCTGTTCTCTGCGAGGAGAAAAACGATTCGGATCACCCTCTCCGAGGAGGATTCCTCAACTCACTTCGAGAAGTCTTCCTTCGGCAAGGCAGTCGAAACGAGTCGGTCATGAAAATGGGCCGTATGTCTCCAGTCGTTCCGGATGAGATCTCGACTCCGTTTCCCGTAAATGCTCTCATGTACGTACAGATCGTCTCGCACACTCCAGTGCGGATAGATCAGACTATCGGAGTTTCGGGATTAGAACCCACAAAGCTTCGGAGGATTAGGGAAAATTCCCGATAAGCGTAAGCCGAGTACTTGCTGCTCACCTCGTTGAAATAGACCCTGCTCGAGCATTGAGGTCGGCGATCTGCTTCGAATACAAGGAGTTCCCGATTTCGTAATTGAGTCGATATGTTCTCGGGAAGAATCGACGGCGATCGTACATCTCGACGGCTAAAATATCAAGAGAGACCTTGATCTGATCGATTTGATTCGAGTGCACAATGTCTGGAAAAATTATCCAACTCATGAAACAGGTGTCCTGTCCCATCCGTGATCCTCTTTTGCGGGAACTCTGAATGCTGTGTTCCGTCATTCACGGCCTCGGGATGGATTTTCTTCACGAAAGTGTACGTAAACGAATTCCAACATTCGAATTGGGCCAAAAATGTCATCAAAGACTGACCTATTTGATGACCTTGCTTCGAAAGACCTTGGCCTTAGATTTCGATTTGCGTCGGTAGAAGGAAAACCACGTAGCCTACCCTGAACGAGGGACTCCTTTCGAGACGCACAAAGAGCATGGAGGATTTATGAACCTGACTTACGTGATCTGCTGGCCTTGCTTCCGAAATCTCTTCTACACTACGAGTTCTTTCTGATCACGCTGCGAGAACAGGTTTGAATCGGGGAGACCGGGAGAAGGAGGGAGGGCTTTCTACGACATTCTGGCGTGCTTCCAGAAATCATCAGCTGAGAGTCTCACAAAGCACCGGAGATTGAATCTGGTTACGGAAGCTCGGTTCTGATCCGAGAGCTGCTAACCAATAATCGGTCGTGAGATCATGTCCGGACTCAGCATGACGAGATTCAAAGACCCTACGCTCATGCAGATTCAGATTGAGAGCTGTCTTAGCGAAAGAACTTGCCGAAATGCTTGGGGAAGTCATTCTCCTAGCCTTTTATTCTGTCGGCATCTCACACATACAATCAAGAACACACTGCGATATCTGCCTACATCAAAACACAGCCTTTGGACGATTGGCTCTGCGAACCAATCATACTGCTCTTCACTTTTTCCGCGAGATACGGTGGCAAAGGAGGACTCCACACTGCATCCGGTGGCGGTTCTTCGCGGAACTCCCAAACCTGAGTGGTGGCTCGCGTGGCCTCCTGCCGTTTCCGCTAGGATTTGAAAAATTTCACTGTCAATTCCGAGTCGATTCGATCGACGTCTCTGACGGACTGGAATCAAGCCGCGGAAAGTACGTTTCCCGACCGAGTCTCTGGTTGTAAACCTCAAATCGAGATGCTGTCAAACCTCGACTCTCGCTCGGGATCCATTGCGGCGATCGTTCGCAAGCAGGAAAATTCGTAAGTTAAAACAGAGTTCCCGTGGTGAGTTCGCGAGCTGATTCGAGCAGCGCTTCCGAACGGGAGGGTCTCCTCCGATTCGGAAGGAGTTGCTGCTCTGGTGCGACGCGACGCAAACCCCCGATCTCCTCGGAGAAATCCGATCACCACTACACGGAACCGTCTAGCGTCTGTAGGCGAATCAGCCTTCGCAAGTGAATCATGTTCATGCAGGCAGAGACGCTCGTGAGTCGCATTGTTCGAAAGTCGAGGTTTGACTGCACGGTCTAGTCCGATACAGATCCATCCGAACCCAGATATTTACCATTCGAATGATTTCACTCTCGGTCACGGCTCTGAGAGCGGTCAAGTCCTTTTCTTTCCGCCACTTCAGACAGTTTCCGTGGTCAGTTTTCCAGGGCTCGCAATCTATCTCTTCGCCATGAACGAATCTGGAAGTGTCAAGAGAGCCGGATGCGCTGAGGAGCGGAGCGATCGCCGATCGGACTCATTTTGTTGCATTGAATCGCCTCGCCGAGAAGTGAACTTTCTTTTAACTCTCAGGATGGGAGCATTCTTACAAAAAACTCAAAAACGCCCGAGCGCCGAGCTTCCTTCGCGCATTGGCCAAATATTCAAGCTCGATGGGAGAGGCTGATGGCAGGAGGTCTTGATCGGAGTCCTCAGAACCTCAGGCAAACTCACCTCTGATGCAAACGAGCTCTGATGGATCGACAATCACTATACTCTTCCTCGTAGTGTTCACAGGTAGGCACCAGATTTTGGTACTTTTCCAGATCCTCCTCGGTGATGTCGCGCCTTATTTCGGTATCACTGCTCATATTATGTTTATTCAAGTCACGGTCTGTTGGAGCCTGGATCTTGGGATGATGTCTCTATCACGCCGAGACCGAAAAAACACAGCAGCACATGCGAGTCCCGAGAAATCTTTCGAATCGGAGTTCCCACGGAAGCCGCGTGGATAACTCATATGTTTCCACGGTAACCTCCAACCCGGAAGGGTAAACGCCGACCATCTGCGCTAGGTAACTGATGAAACGATTGGGACCCACCACAGATAGCGCCAGGACTGCGATTACGCGGTCCACCATAAACGGTACATATGAATACCTACATGGGTGGAGTTTGGCCTCGCATACTCCATCCCAACGAAGCAGACCTCGATTTACGCACATTCTCCTCGGAAGAGGTCTTCCGAATTCCTCCTGATTCTCAGAGAAAATGTAGGGAATTACTCAAGGGTTCCCTGTGGGAGGTTTCAATGGTTCAGACGCTGAGGCGAACGGCGAAACGAATTCCGACGTCAGAATGTTGACTGAATGGGGAGCATCGCGCATTTTTGGAGGGACGAACACTGTTCCCGCGGTAGCTCCCACATAGAGCGCGGACTGTGAATGAGTAAAGGAGGCTTCAGGCAGTGAAGATTCGAACCCAACCCATGCGATCTTGAAGAGCCCTGTCTGGGAGGAAAATCTTGGATGAGACTGGAAAAACCGAAGCGGGCAAGTTCCGCTCCATTCAGTGCCCGCGATAATTGCAGGCGGGGCAGATAACTGTTTGCGGGTGATCAGGGTCTCCGATCAAGACGTACAGTTACACCTAGGTATCGGTATTCGGATTCGAGGAGGTGAGATCTCGCTGTTTCGCTCATCCGCGGCTGTCGGGGTGGCAGCCAGGGAAATTCTACGGTAGTTTCCCTCCGAAGAATCTCCAGGAACCGATCACAATACCGGGAGCCGCGCTCGCGAGGGATGGAGGGAATATGAGCACAAGGCCGAGCGTTGAACTAGGGATTCATAGGTATGTTTATTAACCTCATGGCTTGATTTATACAGTGGATCACGGTCAGTCTTACAAACACTTCACGCGGCCTGAAGAGGATTCGAATGTTCGATCACGCCAAGTCTACAGATCGAGAATACTGAATGACGGACAGCTCTCCTGTCAGCTGGTCTTGGGTGATACTCCCATCGGATGTGATGAAATTCAAGAATTTCTTCGGAGCATGCAGGAAGAATCCGTTATCGCTGAAATGTCCCTGTAAGGGATGAAATCCGGTCTTCAATGATAAGTGCGAGCTTGGAGAGAAATTCCTCCAATTCCCCATTGGTCATTGATTGCTCGCTGAAATCCACCGTTTGATTTGATCTGAAAGTCTGGATAGACTCGATAAGCATGGTGAAGCATGTCCTTCGCGCGCTACCGCAGATCTCTCTCGCTATGGAATTACTTACCGCAACAGAACCGGCTTCAAGCCAAGTGAACGGAGCTGGAGCGCTGGCTTCGACGACGATTTCAAACTCGTTCCTTCCATCGGATCGAAGTTTCGGTCCATCGACCGACGTCACTTTGATATCGGCATCGATTAGGGTTTTGATCTTTTTCGGAGCTTCAGCCAGGAGCCAGTTCTCAGAAATCAGTTGCTTTTTCTTGTCGAACATTGACACGATCAAGAAACATCTATCGGTGCTACACGGTTCAGCGAATAGGTCTTCGGTATTCAGCGTATTCGACAGCATCGAGCAATCCGAGCATAGGGTTTTCTCTTGAAGAATCGACCTGAAAGGTTGGGGGCATTTCATTCATTGGTTACAGTCAACCAGAAGACCGGACATTGGGTATTTTTCCGCCAAATTCTTTCATGGATCTGCGGCCAATAACCCCCAACGAGCGAGAGAGACTCTCGAGAACTCATCCGGTTCCCGAAGTATCTTGAGTCCCTCCCCCCCGCAGACATATGGTCGTCTCTTAGCTTTTATGCCGCAAGTCACATTATACTTTTCCTAAGCCGGGCTCATTCTCTACGATCTGGGAGGGATCGGTGTGGACACCTTCGGATGAAAGACTCTCACCTGATTGGTTTGAAAGAGTCGAAACTGAAGACTTCCACAGTCACGTTAACCTTTTCCGGAGCTTCGAGCTCACTTATTAGCCAGACCTCGATGATATCCTTGTTCGACCAGAGGGATGACTCTCTATGCGCCGTGATCAGAACAGGCTCGAAGAAATTCTTGGCATAGTTGTGAAGCATTTTCCAGGTACCGTCGTACTCTGCAATTTCCCAAAGAATGAGAGTCGAAGCAGAAACGATTTTCCGCCGAATTTCCTCTCGAGATTGGCAGTAAAAAGATTCGTCGGACTCTCCCGGATCGCGGTGCATTCTGCATTTACCTAAGGATGCCCAAGTTGGGGCTTGCCAGACATCATTCAACTGCCAGTAGAGGGCACCCATGTTGTTCCCTTCGCCAGATTTCGGTTTCACCGTACTCCGGTCGCGTCTGAATTTTTCGACGGCGGTCTTGATCGACATCGCTTGGTTGATCTGTGTGAGGTAGCAGAAAACCCCGAACTGGTCCGTCGACGACAAATTGACCTTGGGCCCGTTGAACTTAGAGTAAACCTTTCTTTCGAGATTAGCGTTGCCTGGAATGATGAGCACTGCAAACTCTGTTATGCCAGCTGGAAAGTGCAAGCTGTGCAGCGACAGGAGGAGCGGCGCAAAAGAAATCAACAGTTCCGCGCAGCGCGGGTATCGCCTCTGCAGGAGAAGTGCTCACCCACGGTGTGATGCTGTCTGTGATTGACCAATTCACTCAAAGGAAATACTAGGTCTTCATCTGTGTCTGTCGCCTGTTTCCACGTCCGAAGGGACGGGAAACTCTGGAATCCAAATTCGGAAACGAATCTGGCCGAAGGGAAATTGCTGGGATTCCAACTGTCGATGAGATAGTTGTAGAAGTGCACTGTACAGACAAGGGTCAGGAATTAGTCAGAGCCGATTACGGAATTGTGCGACGAAGCTGTATGATCAGAGACAAGGGGAAAGTTCAAAAAATCTAACCGTCACCGTAGAGGGAACTGTTCGGGTCGCTGGCGACGAAGTTCTCCTTGTCTGTCTCCAGGCCGTTCGACGGACTCGAGATGATGTAGGTCCTCCAAGGATCGATCTCTTCGATTATAGGCTTCATCGTGTGGACGTACAGTGTCCGATAATCGTTCTTATACCGAGTGATATCGAACAACTGACAACGAGACCAATTTAGTAAACTTGAGTCCTATCACCCATCACTGATAGGAATATTTGGATATTGCTGTTTGGAATAAATGAACATTTGGAGGAATGGAAAATAAGGATTCTCCACAGTCCATTCTGAGCGGACTGACCGTCTCTGGCCACCACATTCCGCTGATAGCCATTTCATTCTCATTGTTGCCAGCCCACAGAGCGATCGAAGTGTGGTGCTGGATTCGGCGCACGTTCTGACGGAGTTCTTCAGAAACCGTGTCGAGGAATTCTTTGTTCGTCGGATAAAGGGCGCAAGCGAACATCATATCCTGCGGGAATATATGGGGAATGAAGAGAGAGGTACGGGAGGAGATTCTCAAAAAATGAAGATTTCTGACCTACTCGGACGATTGTGCAACGGTTGGATGAAGGAGAAACCCAAGGGAACGATTGATGATCGGGTCATTCTGGGCTCGGATGCTCGACATCGAAAATATACTCGAATCAAGGTAGTAACTCGCCTGCCAGATCAATATGCCCATTTCGTCAGCAGCTTCGTAAACTTCGTCCAGCTCGTATGTTCCTCCTCCCCAGATCCTGAGCATGTTCATGTTGGCGTCCTTCGTGGCTTGCATGATGCGACGGATTTTCTCTTTGGTGACTTTCTCTTGCAGAACTTCAATTGGGATGAGGTTCGAGCCTTTCGCGTATACGGGCCACCCATTGACCCTGCAAGAGGAACGACAGTTCCGAATCCAAAAGCATGCGATATAATCCAAGCTTGGAAGCTTGCAATGGTGGAAGAAGCTCGAGAGCCCCTCCGAAGCCGGCAGACTCACTTAAAGTAGAAACTGAGACCCGTCGCGCCGGGTATAGTCGACTGCACGACTTTAACCGTACGGAAGCCGATCTTGACTTCCTTCGAGGATCCGTCGACATCGACTCCGAGTTTGTACAAAACTTGTTCGCCAAAGCCGTTCGGCCACCAGCGTCGAACCTTCCTTTCGTCAATATTGATGTTGGTTAAAACGATTTTACCTATTTCAATCATTTTCTGGTTACGACTAGATCTCACACTCCGATATTTCAGCGGAACAGTTTACTATATTCGTAGATTTGTGAATTATTCAAGGCCCCGAGCGATGAGCTCGCGGACTCAAGAAGCACGGGTTCTTCGCGGATTACTTGAGAAAGCTTCCCCCTCACCGTCAACTATTGGAGCGCTCCCGCTGAAAAGTTGACCGATACCCTCCAGGTCGGCCTTCACTGTGACTTCTGATGGCAACTGGTTCCCTTCTACGTACAGAGCGAGCGTGACGTTCCAGTGATTTTCTGAAATTCAATATATCACATGAACGAGAGGCCCGCATGTCGTCCACTTCTGATGATCACCGATCGCGAGCAGAAATGTTCCACACAATGAGAGTCTGATCGACTTCGTGACAACTTCCAATTCGGAGCGTGTGTCAGACGCCATGGGTTCAGGACGAACCGCACGGTTGACACAAGTTGAGCACACCGACGCACGTCCACATATAGCGCTTTTTAACACGGTTGAATTTTCAGGGAGACATCAGCTTCACGAACGAATGCGAACGCGTTCCAACGATTACAAGTTCGGGCCTTGTAACACTTTCGCCAGTTTTTTGTGCCGAGAGGTGCAAAATCGATCCTCCTGATTCGACTGACTCAGATGATTCGACACCAGTGATCGAAACCGCTCAGGATGAAACCGCTCCATATTCTAATGCTAACCGTTCCGTAACGGACACTCACCTCGCTCTGCCAAGCCAACGACAACATCGCGTAGCTTCACGCTTTCGTAGTACTCGATCTCGACATCCTTCCAGATACCTAGCGACGGGAAGGCGGGTCCCCAGTCCCAACTGAATGAGCTCTGAAAATGCCATTTACCACATGGGTAGTAAAGGGGTTTCTGACGGGGGCGCTATTGGAATTTTCGTACACATCCGAAAATGCGGTCACCTGCATTTTGCGCACGAAGTTCGCGTGCTCCACGCCGTGCTGGGCGTTAGGATGTGACGTCGGATATACCGTGTAGTTATTGTTATAGTATTCGGTGAATTGGTTCAGAGCGTAGAATATCGGTGACGTGATTTTCACAACCAGCTCGTTCTCGGTCTTCAAGATACCGCGAACATCGACGCGGTATCGCCGGAACATGTTGTCTGTGCTTAAAATCTCTTTCCCATTCAAAATAACTCGGGCAACTGTGTCGATTCCGTGGAACACCAAGTTTAAGTTCGCAAATGCAAGCGTGGACTCGGGCACTGAAATCAGAACACAGTTGATTAGCAGAGGGATCTGCGAATGGTCGATCGACGGCGAGCTCACTTGAAAATGTCTCAAGGAAATGCAAATTTGACTTTACCTGAGAATGTCGACGTCCATGTCCAGTCTTCGTTGGAAACCCATCTTTGTAGGACGTCGTTGAATCGGTAGTAAGGGTCGCTTATTATCCCAGCCCTTTGAAGATCACTGTACACGCCCCCAGGCACTTTCGCGGGTATGGATATCGCTTCAAATAAAATTTGAATTCTTCAAAATCTCGCACTCATCGATCTCAAAGAGCGATCTGTTCACTGTACACTCAGCACGCGAGCGATACGTCTTCCGCGCCATTCTACTGGAGGATGCAACCGAATGGGGTTTCCTTGATGGGTTCCGGGCGTGAGGCTCGGTGAGCTTGCGAGTGATCTGTGGAACTTTTGTGAGCATCTCCCCCCCTTTTCAGGCGACGGCCAAGAGAATCGGTTTCTTTTTCCTGAAGCTCCGTTATCGAATCGAAATTCCCTAAGCGCCAGATTCCGAGTGCTTCTATCCGGTATCGATTAAAGCCGCTAGTTAGACACCCGGACGAGACCCGGCTGGATTACCGCAAAAGTATGTATCTCTCTTGATAAGCGCTAATCAATGCGAAGTGACTACAGAGCGAGCGGAATCATACCATCAGCTGACTGATAATGAGGTTGCAAGGTCACGCTTTAACCACTTGCATAGGCACCGTTCTCCGGGCACTCGAAGCACATTTCGCTCCGAGTCGACCCCGTCTAAAGGTCGGCAGTGTTCGCCCGTCTTAGCCCAGAAACGACGCATTCGCTTAGTCAAAAAAGAGCGGAGCGCTCCAGGTGAAGGGTATCAGGTACTTGATGATGGTATCGGTGAGATAAAAGGAAAAATGTATCGAGAGATTAGGGATCACACTTACATCCATTGGTGTTGCTGACCTTCCACGACGGTCCACTGAGGGATATCGAATGACCGAGAGTCCCAACCGCGAGAGTCGTGAGAAACACCACGCACGTCGCAAGGGCCATAGCGTAAATGACTCTCCACGCCACGGCGTGAAGGGCGAGAATTCGAAGAAAGGATCGCGCTGGCGAGGGGAAATTCGCGAGAGCTCGAGGTCAACGACCCCAAAACATCGGTGAATAGCATAAACAAAGTATCTGTAACCTGTATTCTTTATCGATTTCAGTGGGTCTCGGAAAAATCCGAATAACATGTGGATTCGCTGAGCGAGAGCGAGCCCGAAATAATGAACGTTAAGGGTTTTTCGGATGCTCTCAATTCTCAATCGTTCCCTGAAGTCCCCAGATCTCGGTAAACTCTTGCGGGTTGAGCAGCGTGATTGGAGACTGACGTCGCGATAAGGATATACGAGAGTCGCAGGTTCCCCACAAACTCACCGATGTCTAGTGCGGCATAATTCCTCACAGCCGGGGCTGTGCATACTGTGTTTCCCGGTCACTCGTGACATTCCGGGAATGAGTTTCTCCTCCGGTTTGAGCCCGATTCGGAAGCGGCATTCAAACATGGTAGCGAAGAGCTTCGAACCTGTTTCTGACCATCAGGCGAATCCCCGACGTTGCGGGTCGTAGCCCCACCCGGTTCAGAGGAAAATATTTGAGCTGTCATCAATACCGCTGATGGCTGCGCTGTCTCTTCATCGAAAGCTACATAGCTGGCCGAGGTTGGCTGCGCCTATGCACGTATCCGCAAGACAAGGTCTCTACTCAAGTGCGAGAGGCGCGGGTGCGTCGCGCCGTTTCGCAGCAGATCGGAGGGGGGTGGTTCCTCGGGACAAATCTCTCGCCTCTTCCCTCATGCTTCCGCAGTGAGGTAGAGTTGCCGAGGGCTCGGATGGCCGTGAAGCCCGTATTTGTCCCCTATAGGAGCATAAATGCAGGAAGATGCACAGTCGAACCCGCTCGAGAGTCGTGAGACACGGAAACTCAGAGAGGGCTCTCGAGAATATCCTGCTCCTTCTCATGACTAAAGTCTAGATCATGGGAGCCCATGAGGCCGGAAATCTCTGAGGGGTCTTCCATGCACCGTTTTCCCTCTGATATTCGAGTCTGCTGACGGGGAACTCGACCGTACATATGAAGAAACGTATAGGGGAGATTGGAACTCTCGATATTTTCGTCGGAAAGCATGCCTGGGAGACTCAACGTCTGCTCCGGCACCAATCTCCCTCCGTACCTCACTCTAGCGGAAGAATATGCCGTCAATGAAAATCCGAACTGACTGTCAATGTGAGAGCTCCCGGGGATGGCAAAGTCTCCACTTCATGCATGCGTTCCATCCCGTATAAGCGGTCCTCTAATACGTGGGTCCGACTTTATATCGATCATTTCTAGAAGTCCAATCGGAGCGGATGGCATCGTAGATCCGCAGAGCTCTGGGGTTTCTTTCGTCGATCCCGCGATCTTGCCTTCGTCTTCGACTCGGCCAAGACGCCAGACTGCGTCAATGTGAACGTGACTCGCGGAACGGGCCTGAGGGGCACGAGGAAGCACTCTGCTGTCCATGATCGCCTTTGCTTTCCGGGGGTATGGGAATATCACTTATATGTATATGAAGCACAGCAATGGCCTATCGTGTCGAGAGGCTATCGGCAAGACTCTCTCGCGAGATCCCCGGAGCCTTGCTCCATCTCGAAAACGGTAGTCGAATTATTCGTCAGAGGGAAATATTCCCCTCTGAAGGGGCTTTGGGACAGTCGTTGGATGAAAGAAGGTCGTTGACTTACTCAGGATAGAAGGAAAATTCCCATGTGAAATTATAATATACATCGTAAGATCCTGCTTCTCATCAAAAAATGATCAATCACTGGCTTTGCCAGTGGTATTGGGCACCGTGCCGCATCGTAGGTTCAGGTAGTCTGGCTGACCGCGACTTCCCTCTTATACCGGCCGCGGGTCGCGCACCCTGCCTGGAATCTCCCCGAGGCCAAGCTATGAGTGGTGGGGGAAAACTCTCCTTGGCAGGAAAGAATATGGGAAGGCCGCTTCAGAATAGACAATCAAAATAAATACCAGGAAGTAACTCCCAGAGATCGTGGTGGCCGAATCAGGTGGACTCTGACGACGTGACGTTAAGCTTCTCAAGCGAGAAAATCATTTTTTACCCTCAAAGCGCAAGTCGTGATCCAAGGCGTCGTGCCGATGCGCTCTCGGCGAACCTTTGAGCGTTCCGTTTTGGAAGCAATTACGGAGCCCTTCCCAACGTCATAATTATTGTGGTGAGCCGTCGTCTCTCGGGAATCAACCGGTGTCAATCAGCGGCACGCATCAGTTCTTCCCTGGGAGGTACGCATCGCAAGGTGTTCAATTAATGCCGTGGACATGAGAAGCTATCCCCGATCTCACGGACTTTGTTTTGTGGAGGATTCCGGCTAATCGAGTGAGACGGTTTTCATCTATGCCTCCACGAAACTTTGCGTGCCCTCGATAAGTCGATTTTTCCCCTGATCATTCAACGGGTAATCCGGAGAACCTACTGACGATTGACGCTCAATCTGATGGGGTCAAATTGATCGAGAGACAGTCTTAGAGAAGTTCATCATCGGAATTCTCAGAAATGAGAGTCTCGTGCTTGCGTTTGGCGTTGGTGCTAATGTCGTGTCCGGCAGCCTTATTCTGCCAAGAACTTGCTTTTGAGCCTACGACGAGCCCTTTGCCGGAGCCCCTTGTGCAGGACAGCCCAGAGTCTGATTCCCCGCTTTTCTACAACACTATTGGTTCGGATGGAGATGAAAGTGGAGAAGATGGCAAAAACTCGACTGAAAAAAGATCGAAAAAGTTGGGCAAGGCTAAAGGCCGGCCACGAGTGCAGAAGCCGATTAGCGTTTCGAGTCCGACGGTAGTGGGCGCATCCAAAGATCCGTCACCCCCGTTGCGACGGAGTGATCGATTCAAAGCGGGCGAGGCAGCAACAACCGAGAAACCCCCGATGGAATTCGCAAGTAAGGGACTCGCCCCGTGGTCAGACGTCTCGGATGTCGCCGAAGCCGCGACGGGTGCAGATGGAGAGAAAGGAGAAGACGGCCCCGGCCCGGTGTCAGTAAACGGTGGGGGAAGCGGAGGAGGTGGCGTTAGAGGCGGAGCGGGATCGCTGGCTTCTTCGGAAGCTGATGCAGAAGGAGGTCAGGGTGAGTTTCAGCCTCGGTGAATATTCGAGAATCCTAAGATTGACTCGTCAAAAGCAATTGAGAGAATAGAACCCTCTTTGACCCTTTCAGCCATCGATGTTTCGCCGCTCCAGATCGACGACTATGGCCTGCCACCCCCTCATCCGCCGTATCCTTTGAATCCAGACGATCCCTACAAGGCAGTTGCACCTTTCGAAGCGCATTTGACGCCACCTACCCCTATATTCGGGTATTCGCCGCATTATCCCCCAACGTGGTACAGAAGACGAGCGAATCCGTTCCTGTATTCACTTCCGCTTCCTCCTGTCAACCTTCCTCTGTATCGTCCCTCTCGCTTTTCGGCTACTGGCATGTATTCTTAGTAGAAAGAGGTGTAATAAAGCGGAAAGTTCCACTGAAGGGATGCGGATACTTCGGGCACCTAGGAGTGATTTTCATTCAAATTTCATTCTCAGAAACATGATACGGTAGGTCAGCATCATAGTTCTCAGAACTCCGGAGCCTTCACCCTTTCTCTCATCAAAGCCGGAAGGACCGTCACTAGTTGCATCTTTCATCCTGATTTGGTTCCTCCTCCACCTTGTGGGTCGCATCAGCAAGAAGATCACACATCACAACGCGTAGCCTAATCGGGGATCGGTACCTTGAGCGGCGATGCAAGTCTCTGATGATTCCTCGCGACTCGGATCTCCTGACCCGGATCCAGGATGGAAATCCGTGATCGACCGCGAATAATCTTCGAATTTCCCATGCCCATAGCCGTCTCCCGTCGCCCGTCCTTCGGGAACTCCCTAGTCTTGGAAGGTTCCGAGACTGTGCGACAACAAGAGCTTCCAGTTCGTTGTAAGTAGGTACTCTTGAGAGTGATTGGAAACGACCCACGCTCACGGATGAACTCTGCGGATCTCCGGATGGAACTTTCATTCCAGACTCCGGGAAGCGATGCTTGGATTTCTCTCTCTCTCTATTTGACAGATTCTTGCTCTGGAGGAAACATTCAGCTGCTACGGCTCGAGCTTCGTTCGCCAAAGGAACGACCCACAGCGCCTTTTGAAAATAATTTGATCCGGCGCGTTCAGCTCTGAAAAGTGGTTCCCCTGACTTCTTCGAGGCCGCTCTGGGACAGCTCTGCCGGTTTCTTTGTTGTCCGGGGCCAGAGTTCTCTCCAAGGGATGAGAAAACGGATTCGGGATGAAAGATACCCTTCTCTATTCTGGATCAGGAAGAAAAACACATTGCCTGCTTTTCTGTGCATGAGGAATGAGGATGGGACTTCGCGCTGCGAGAGGACCTCATTGGGAGATCCTACCCCATCGTCTGTGAGATCAGGACAGAATATGAGGTCCGGAAGCGGTAATGTGAACAGCACCTCTGCTATTCAGCGAACGCCGTGGATCATAGCTTCTTCTTTCTCTTTTTGGAAAAGCGGCTGGAAACACTCAAAATCGATCGATTTCGTGAATCTGAACAATGATTGGTCGCAGGGTATTTCTCTCTGAAACTGATAGTTTCCGAGCTATTGCTCGGATGCTGCGGACCTCACGTTCCAATGGGATGGAGCTCGAGTCATTCCGGCCCCACTCCCTGTGACTCGGACCCTTGTTGAGGATGATGATAGATCAGGACACTTAAACTGTCAAGTCTTTAGGACGACCATGCCCTGTCGGAATCTTTTGTGAAGGGAACGGAGCTCTCTGGGGACACACTGATTCTTCGATGACGGGTTTGCTACATTCCGTGGAATGCTGGAGAAATCTGATAGCGGCCCTCTGGGCCTCCAGGGATCGTTTCCCCGATGGGAAAGCTCCTCGAAACTAGGGATCATACACATAGGCCCTACTTCCAACGCCTCGAAGTGGGTTTGGGAACTACCGGACGGTTCGATCGCTTGGCAGGATCCTGCCCGCACGAAGAATCACAAACAGCCATCTTGGCCTTCGTCTCCGTGAGACCCGAAGCTCACAAACTTCCTGAGGTCATTCGTTGCAACTTGGAGATAGAGCGCGCCGGGAGACTTTCTGCAGACGGTCCATTGACGAGTGCGAGAGAGCTCCGACCCTCACTTTGAAAATCCTATGGTCGGACGAATGCAGTTTCAATAAGCGTGGCTTCTTCGATCGAAAGAACACACGTCATTGGTCAACGGCGGAGGACGGATGCATCACAGAGACCAACGCTCAGGAGCGGTTCAGTTTACAAGTTTGGTGTGGACTCCCTGGCTCCCGGATAGTGGGACCGCACTCCTACAGCGGAACTCTCAGCAGTTTCGGGAACCGACGATTCCCACAGAATGAATTAATCGCCTTCTTGGACGACTCGCCGCTCAAATCGCGAAGAGAGACGATTCTAGCGCAGGAGAAAGGATCACACCACAATTAGATTACTCAATTAGACACATCGATAGGAGCTCACAAAACCGGATAGATTCGATTCTGTTCCTTTACGCTCGCTTCCTCCTGTCCAAACCAATCTCGGACGATTCCCCGAAAACAGTTTCTATACACGGACGGAAAATCGCATCCGTTCACACTGGGATTCTTCCGTTGAGTTGCAGTCCTGCTGAGTCCTGTCTTTTCGATGCATGTCGACATGTCCTGCATCGAAAATTTCGATCGACCCCGAGCCGAGGCTCAGCCGAAAGACACGAGGACAACACCGGATATCGCGTATTCTGTCGAACGCCTCATCCTCATCAAATTGAACCCGGCGCCCTTCGTTCTCATCCAGGGATTCCAACTGCTGTCCATCGCCGTATCCCTGTTCCCGCCGAGGTCGAGGAGTCTGTGGTATTTGCGGCGGCATTTGCAAAGGGTCGGAGATCCTAACACCACACCGTTCACTCTAGCAACCATTTCGGGATTTATGTAATATCCTACGGTGCGGAAGATGTCGGGTACTGTGCACAACTTCAGGATCTCCAAAGCTCTGTCGCGTGGGGGCGGTTGAGCGGTGGAACGACGCAGACCACGCAGAATCCGATACAGCGGTTGGTCAAGCGCATGACGAGGTTCTTCGTGGAGACGTCCGCGGAAGAAACTTGCAACAAGCTCAAGGAGATCTTGAACAAATTATCTTTCAACTACAAAGTCAACGGCTTGGAATTCACCGTGGCGTTCGCGTTTATGGACTCGAGATCGCTGCGCTGGAAGATAACGCGGACGGACTCATGGGCAAGGGATTCGGGAGGAATGTGTGAAACATTGGCATACATATGTGGCCACCAGCCACTCTTTCAACCGAGCCGGACGTTTTACGATGCAGTTCGTGGGTTCTGGAGCTGGGTCTATATCCCCGCCGCGCCGTTCCTACAGCGATCTCCGCCTGACGGAGACCACTCGTGTGAAGGGAGCCATCGGGGCCTCCCCTTCACGGAGGCGAGATCCGGACAGTTTCTAACGAATGGCGGAAAGCCCGACAGATGTCCCCTGTGCTATAGATTACAGGATACCCCAGCCGAAGGAGTAGGAGGAGGCTCGAGCGCTTGGAGTGGAAGGAACGAACGCATATATCATGTCTCCTACCTCTCTCTGTCAGCTGTCAAGTCACAACTATCTCAACTGAAGAGATGAGTAGGCACCTCACCTCATGGGACTCTTGATGGTAATGGAGAAGCCGATTTCAGAGCGCAGCTCGTACTCTTCCCGATGAGCAGGCGGTGCTGATTGAACAGCCCGATGTTTCTTGGACCCATGAGGAAAGCCTGAGCATCGGCCATCCACCAGAGACTCACTCAGCATTGTCTATAAGAGCTTGAGCATGCGGTCCGAGAAAGATTCATGAACATGAGTCGATGGGCCGCCCAATGGACTTCCGGCGCCAGACGAAAATCATCAGCATCGTGGTCTCTCCACGACTTTCGCTCTCCGGGAATCCCATGATTCCTAAGAGACAGAAATCCCTATGGAGTTCCATGGACCATCTATCATTCAAGAGAACGGCGTTTCTCCGTTCTCCCGTTCCTATTTACGACTCGCGGTCCTGTGCTTCTGGTGATTCAGCTGATAGGACTCTGCCGGAGAGAGCGACACCTGGCGGTAACTGTGGAGATCTTGAATGGTATGGAATGGAATTTCCGAGATAAACTCACCCGATCCTGGAAAACATACTGGATGTGCGCCCGATCGCGAACTTCTCCGCAAGGGCAGCAGCTTTCTCCGAGATCAGACCGCAGAATCTTGACGCCGAGTGACCGGCGAGACTGGGTTTTGAATTTCGCGCGGAAGACACGAAACTGTTCATCGGGTTGTTCCGAGCAAAGTTTCTTCTCAAGACTTACGTTGGTGCAAACAACTCTCTGGACTTCTTCGAAAGGTATTCAGAAAATCCCCGAACAATTACTATCGATTTTCGACGATCGGTCTAGTTTAATCCGACGACGAAAAGTCTCCGTTGTGTCGGATCTCGGACATCGAGTACAGCAAGACTCTTCTTAATGGCGCTCCAGCATCTTGAGACTTGCGTCGCGGGAAACTCTTGCCTATCGAGCCCTATCACCTCGTCTCCCGCTTCAGCTCCGGTATCGATGGAACGCCTGGGCCTTCGGAGGTTCTTCGAGCCTTCTTTAAGCCTTATGAGTAGGTATCGGAATATTTCGCGGTGGAAGATCACCGGGATCGCGATGAGGAATCTCGAAGTTCGCGAAAAAAAACCGAAGTCCCCTCGGAATCGCGGAAAATCGTGGAGTTTGCTCCGAATTCGCGACGAGAGCTGCTACCTGTAGTGTCAGGTGTCAGCTCCCTCCTACTTGTGTAGCGGCGGGCACAGCCAATCGGTAGTACCAGGTGCCTCGGTAGGGACGTGCACATCCGATCGAGGGAAAGATCCCGCTCGACGGAGTATAAAAAGCGCACTCGAATTAACCAGCTTGATGCTGCCCAACGACGCGGGTGTATTCCCATCGATGACGCTAGACACTATACTGGCGCAGTCCGACAAAAGCGACAAGTGTGGGGACGAAAAGTCATCGGAATACTCAGACTTAGCGTGACAGACAGATATCCAGGTGCAAAGTGCGAAATGACTGATAACGGTGGAGTGTTCGCGCCGGCAGCGTTCTGGTCAGATGAGGGATCGTCGCCCCCGATACCGTGGGAGGAGTGGATTGAAAACTTCGAAGTTTATCTGATCGCTCGCGGAAATACGTCGACATGGACCGTCGAGAGGAAGGTAGCCACGCTGAAACATTGTTTAGGTGTGGCAGGTCACGCGGCCTACCGGGAAATCGAAAGTATGCCAGCAGTAGGAGCAACCGAATACGAGAAAGTGGTGTTCAGACTGTCCAAGAGGTTTGCGGTGGAAAAAGGCCTGGCGGCAAGAAGAATGGATTTCGCAGCGCGCAAACAAAATCAGGGAGAAAGCGTGCGGGAGCTCGTCGGAGCCCTCAGAAAACTTGCGGGAAAATGCATGTTCCCAATCACCGCCGACGATGCGATCATAACCCAACTCACGGTGAATACCACCAGCGACGCTGTGCGCGAAAAGTTACTGAACGCGAAAGAAGGAACTCGAATAAACCAGCTTGATGCTGCCCAACGACGCGGGTGTATTCCCATCGATGACGCTAGACACTATACTACCGAAAACGGATAAGCTTCGCGAGTTCCACTTTGGCGGCGCATCATGATCCGTGTTTCCGAGCTCGTGGCTGATCTCAGGCGATGGCCCTGTTGAATTTCGAGACACCTTCGGTTTTCAGAGCTCGACTCCACGATCTGACTGAGCAGAGATTCCTCCGAGCTCTTCGAAGAAGGTTCGATCCAATATCGAGTATAGAAATGACGAATTTCGCGGAAATCGCTGAACCCCCCGGGAATTGCAAATTATTTCCCATAAGACAGATTCCGTGAAGCTCGACAGGGTACTCCACAACTTGGTGGAGCGACAAAGATCGTGGCATATTTGGAAAATACAATCCATGCGACGGTCCACACTGCTGTCGAAAGCTCCAGATCCGTGGGTGGGAGATCACCGACCTCGATGGTCCGGTGTGCTTCAGACGTTTCGGTGTGATATGGAAATTGAAATCGATATCTGGAGACGCAGGTGGAAGTTGCAGACAATTGATTGGTAGATCCCGAGATCTTTCCTAAGGGGCTAATCATGGGACCCGACAAGAGTCGCTTCTCATGGCACTCCGCGGGTCACTAGAGTTCGCAACGCCGGCTCCCTGTCGTCCGAAACTTCCGTGGGCGGGTCCGCATCCGGTATGGAGCTCTCAAGTCGACCTTAGGAGGGGCGGAGGCTGAAGGGGCTGAAGCCCCCTCCCCGATGGTCCCTTCGTAATGCTGTAGTATAGGAGCGAATCAGCATATTGGATTTCTGCCCCGTGCGGAGACCCGATCTATCCCCCCCAAGAAATCTCCTGCGTACGCCGTTGGTCGACTATTTGTGAGGAGATGAATCGGATAGATTCTCCCGTAATGCTGATCATTGATCATATGATCATCTCTCCTCAGAATCTCGCACAGCAAAAGATGTCTCCGGAAGAAATTTTCGACTTGGAATGTCAATGCAGGTATTGCAAGGATCAGCGGATCTTCGAGCGTATAAACAAAGGTGAGCCATTGCCTCTTTTGATATCTCTGACCCATTGCTGAAGCGTCCCTCGATTATGGGAGGACCCCCAGCCTGATTCGATGGGCTCGCAAATCGATAAGTTCTGACGGACTGCTTCCGAAGTTCAGTGAGGCTTCCGTTCACTTTCTTATGTACCGTTCTCCTCCCAGGCTTCAAATTCGTGGGAGGCCTGCTGGTCACCACCTTTCTGTGTGAAGTCGCCATTCTGGCTGCCCCCGCCGCGCTCGGTCTTGCAGGATATGGTGGGTATCGATCTTATTCACTCGGAGGCAATAGACTGCGGCATTGGTTTCTAACTGATACCGAGTCTGCGGGGGCCGAATGATCCCAATTGCGTGAGGGGGGAGTAAAACTTCCCGAGCCGCGCCTCGGAGCCCGAAGCAATCCCAGGATTCTGGTCGGAACTCTAATCTTCATTTTCCTCCCTATGATCACAGGCGCTAGAGAAGTTCGTGCGGTCTCATGGGCGACCAGAGCTCGATCGTGGATCGGAAACATATGGGCAGGGCGCGCGCTCACCACGGTGACTTCCACGGCTGCGAGGAGGACGTTGAGCCCGGCAGCGGCGAGCGGGATACGAGCTGTCTTCCACACGATATACCTCGGCGGCGCCGCCGCCGGATCACGTAGGGATCAGATAACGAGCTGAAGGGGAAATATCGCTGCCTTGAACGTACTCACTCTCGACAGGTCTAACGAGCCCGCTCTGAAAATTTTCTCTGTCTCCGACAGTGGTCAATACCGATAAGGACGGGGATCCCGCAGTTCCCGATACAGAAGAAGCATGGGACAATCTAATCAATGAAGCTATCTCGAGAGGCCTGATTTGTGGGGAGTGCATGAAGAGGTGCGACTCCATGCTCCGAGGACTTTGTGAATCTGTTTGCAAATGTGGTCTTCTGTTGGCTCCGGGAATGAGCGGGTACATTGAGGAATGGTCGTCAGGCTTGCCGGAGCTCGTTCTCTAAGCGTAATCGATAATACGTCAAGCTCACGACGGGTCTGCGAGAAGGGAATGCAATCCACGAATGAAGGATCAATACTTCTTTCGGAGGAGATGATCGTTTGGCCAGGAACAGCTGTGGATGATATCCGCAGGAAGTTCGTGGAGCCCTGCCAGCGATCCAAATAGACGACTCGACTCTCCCCGATACCAACCAGTCCGGGCCTCGCTGTGGCGAAATCGTGGGACTTATGATCAAGAATGTTCCCATTCTGGTGCGGTTGCACCATGCGAGGCGGCCAGTAAGCCGCCGGCATCGCAAGAACAGACATCGAAACCCATCGGAAGTAGACAATGCTACAAGCGTCTCCTACTCGGTCTCGACATACATATGTATCCACCGGACTCATACTATCTGTTCATCGATAGAGTATCACTCTTGATTACTGATTTTGCTTTCGGACTCTTCCCTCAAGGGGACGAGTAATCTAGTTTCAGCCCTCTCCGCACGGGACATATTTGCTTTATAGTCGAGCATACTCGGATCCTCATGACAGGTCGATGATCGATCAAATAAATTGCTTTTCTCGATTCGCCTTATTTTCATTCAGATCTCACTCAAGAGGTTTTGACAGCTCTTAAAGCCCTCCATCGGCTCAGAAACCCTCCCGCCGACCTGCATCCGAGCAAGGCGAAAGGTTCCATGACTTCGCGCCATGGGGACTGCTTCCCCAATCTCAATGCTAGTGCGGAGAAAATGAAACCAATGCTGGGAACGACCCAATCCAAAGACATAAGGCCCTATCAGGTTGTCATTTTTCCCTCTGTTACAAATCTGCGATAAATCGACAATAGGAACGTTTCGACTCTTACCCGAAGGGTATGCCCTTATGCTGTCCGGCTCATCTCAAGCTTGTTTGTCTCTGTGCCATCGCCCTCGAATAGAGACTCATCGATAGAGCTACTTCATCGCGGAAATTGCTTCGAAAACGTCGCTAGGGGTTCATGGACGTCGAGTCATGAACGAAGACAGGCGGCTCCCAGATGTTATCCCTTTCGAATCAGCTTACTCCAACTTAGGGACTTCCCCTTCCCGATAATCGGATAGAGATCGGTCCGTCTCCTACGTCCCACAGCGTCTTTACAGAATTCTCCAGCGCATTATCTGTTCAGCCGGTGGGTTCAATGTCACGGATTCATCCTGGTTATCGCTCGGAGAGAGCTTCCCATGCACTCTACTCAATCTAATCAGGATCACCTCTGAGCTTTCGGTCAATCAGGTGAAGATTTCCCCTCATTCTGGAAGAAGTCTTCACTACGATGCCCAGGTGCGGCACGCGGAATTGATGGGCGCATCGAATTCTGCATATCTGACCATCTAGACGCGCCGTTTTCGCGCTTGTGAATGATTTCGTCAGGTTTCCGAGTTTGGCGGGCCCTTCGCGTAACTCGTCGAAACTATTGTCAAGAGTCGATCGCTAAATCGAGCCTGTCTCTTATTGGAACGAAGCAGACGCCCTGAGCAAAGCATCTTGTGTCAAGTGTGCTGCTGCAAACAAACCATCCTTTCCTTGAGTGAGGTCCATGTGCAAAGCCCTTTCTCCTTGCAAGTCTTCACAGTAGATCAGAGATCAATGTTTGCATAAAAATCATCCTGGAGCTGGTCTTTGAAATCCAGACACGGGCTCCATGGAAAACGAGTGATCGGCACTTGACTTCGCTATCATCATTTTTGTTCTTACCAACAATACGTGGATACCGACATTGATATTCGAGACGCTCCTGACTCGCTCACCCACGGTATTCCCTTGAGCGTGCGCCCCTAGCCTCAAGCCATCATCCTTCGTCAATGTCGCGCATATTCTGAATGGTGGGAAGCGTCGCAATCGCTGAATTTCCTCAGGTCCAATCAAGTGACGTTAATGGCTCAAAGTTCGTCAATGAATCGGAGTCCAGCATAAGGAGACAAGATGGAGCTCGATGCTGAAGACGGCTCCATCCGTTCGCACTGGGAGAAGGGCTCTTTAGAGACTGACTAAGCTGTGCGAACCCTGTACTTGGCCCTCGGATGTTGAAGGCATCCAGCCGATAGATCCGCGAGTATCCCTTCAGCGTATGATCCCGAGCTCATCAAATCCAACACTATCCACTCTCTCCCCCTGGGTGAAAAGCCTTAGATTTTTTCTAGTGGGTATAATTTACATGAGCCCCACACTCCAGCTGAATGCTCCGACCTTCTGGGTAGTGCGTCAATGCATTTTTTCCGATGGCTCCTTCGCCTTTCCCTCCTCCCCCCCTTCCCCTCAGTCCCCTCCCCGTTCTCGCACTCGCAGCTCTTTTTGAGAATTATTGGGTCACCCCTTTGCGAGCCGCTCCATCAGGCAAAACAAATCAGGCTCGAAGCTCCTATGGGCCGCGTCCATGCCATTTCACTCGGCTGTTTCGCGACTCTTACACCGGATATGGTCAACGGGATCCGAGCGCTTGGTCAGCTTATGTGTCTCGGAGACGCCCTTGGGGAACTCATGAGCCTGAATTCCCCACGGCATGACTCGCAGAATCGAGAGGTAATTCCAAACTCCGTCCCGAGTGCAAAGATTACATGAAATTATCCTCTTTTCCAGTGTGCGGGAGGGAGCTCTATCGAACCTCCGGACTCCATCGAGCTCCGACGAATCGGAGAATAGTGACAAACGTGGAGATCGCCACAGGATCTTGCGTCCCGGGGTGCTCTCCCCTTCTCAAACCCTGGACCGACCCTGCAATTTCCGCAAAAAGCAGTCGTGTCTCTCCATTGAGGGAGCAACAGACTGGGTCCACGTCCCTGGCTTATCCTCGCTAGTTCCCCTTACCATATCTGAGAACACAGCTCGATTTCATGAGAAAATTGGGACTGAGAATTCATTCAGATAGCATTTCCTTCACTGGATTGCTGCGACTTTCCTCCGAGTTCCTATAGAAATTACAATGGTGAATTTCAGCGTTCGGGGGTTGACTTCCATGTCACTCCCCCATAACTCCAGCTCGTCGCCGCAGAACCAATGGATAATGGAGTGATCCTTCGGGTCCTTCGTTCCGCTCGTGCGGTCCACGGAGGAGGTCCTTATCCTCGATTGGCCTGATTTCTCAAAACTGCTTGGGACTCGTCCATACATGTCTCGCAGTATTTCCAAGGCCAGCAATTTATGATCGAATTTTCACCCTGGGGCAAACAGATCACGGAGAATAAGCGGGCAATGTTCTCTCTCTCTTGACGCTGACTGTTCCGGAACGACCATCTGCTGAGTAGGCAGTCAATTTATTGAAGGAGAACCCACACCCTCCGTGATTCACAGTGCACACCTCCGGAGTTCTGCACCAAAATTCCTCGTAATTCGTATAGCGCATGTCCGTGCGGAACTAACGTGAAGAGACCTCTCGCTTCGAATCGACCGCATGGCCAGCGACCTCAACTCAGTTTGGGACAGACGACTCCTGAGAGACCTGTGTACCCAACCGCACAGCCGGGTGGATGAAGTGCGATAATTTCGACTATGAGGTGGTTGAAGGTGGTTTTAGTGGTGTGCTCTCTCACATCGAGCTCGAATGCACGACGACCGATCGTGATAACCGTGGTGGCCAGCGAACTTCAGGAACAGTATGCGACAGCAGCCCAGATGGCTTTGGCTCGCTTTCAGCTGAACGCTTCCGACGTTCAGATTAACATTGTGGATTCAAAATGCGATTACACAAAAGCAGTGGCACCTCTGATTCTTCGGAGGGACACGATAGACGTGCTCGTAGTAGAACCGAAGTGTCGAGAGGTCGCTTGCAAAGTGGCCGACTTCGCCTCCGAATGGCAAGTTCCCGTTGTGTCGCCGATTCCGCTGAAAAGAACGGAGCGAAAGCGATCCCTGATCTTGCTGAGCATCGAGTACAAAACCTATGGACTATTGCTGCAGAAACTATTCGACCACTTCAGATGGAATAGAGCCGCCTTCCTAACTAGCCCGCGTGAGTGATGAGCGTTTGAGATGAATAATTATGCCGTCGCGTGTCGTCGAGATTTCCAGCGAATCGACAGCTCATTGTGGGATGTGTCAAGGACTTACGCCGCCGGGGTCGGACCACGTGTCCCTCTTGCCTATCCCTTCAATTTAAACTGCAAAACGCATCAAGCCGATCCAACTGGCTTATCGATTTTCTCAAATTTAGGAGCTTGCCGTTTAGATTAGATGCCTAACTCGGTTTCCCGCCGACTATTTCGGAATATCCGATACGAGACATTGCGGCTTGCTTCACCTTGTTCTCTCCCTGATCCTGAAGCTTCTCCGGAGGGCATCGGTCGTTTTTTTCTCCGCGAGGAACTCCTCGAGGAGATATTCATGGGGAACGGTATTCGAGTTCACTGCAGAAACTTCCCTCGAGTTTCGGGGGGATGACATTGGACTTCATGCTGCGGCGCCCGTTGCAGTCGACGCCATGCGTATAATTCCGTGGATTCTGAAGTATACGCATATACGTCGCTTCATTTATGGGCAGTGCCGCCCAGTTATTCTTTGTAGGCCCGTGTCTTCAGAATGAGGTACACAGAACACGAGCCACGGTGTATAATTCATGGAGTTACCTTGCTAGTCCGTCGGAGCAACTTCATGAATTAAGCACCTCAAGATGAATTATGCGCGGCTTATCCATCAACACGGTCCGCTGCCTGCGAACTCGAGCTCATCTCCTCGGAGCATCACCTGACTGTCCCTCCGCGGATGCTCTGGACTACCCATATCGTGTTGCTGCCTGGATCCCCGATCGCCCCCCCACTCCCATATACGGAATATCGAAATGCATATGAGCCTCGATAGGGATGACTCCGGCAGCTCAAACGCCGCGTCGAAACACGGAATCCGACGAGCTCGATTCAAGCCCCTAGAATTCGGAATCGATTCCCTACGAGCATCGTATATCGTGCTCGCAAGATTCTCGCAGAGCTTGCTCGTCCAAATCCTCGACTACGTTCGGATGTCCGATGACGAGCTCCACCGATTCGTAGCCGCCTCTAGTGGGCCAAGGTAAAAGGATAGAACATCAAACAGAACGACGCTGTCGAAATATTGATCTTCATACGACACTGGCTCTGCGCGAGACTCCCATCGGAGAAAGCCAGCAGACATGAGTTTTTCCTCTTCGCTTCACATTATCTAGTCGGGCATCGTATGATCTCGCCGATCGACAACGACCGGTCGAAGCTTCAGTCGAGCTGACGGTCGAAGCCCGTTAGCGACAACATTCGAGGAAACTACCCTCATATCCAAACTTTATGTGGACGCGACTGGATGCGGCTCCTCGTATGCAGGCTCTGACTAGGATGAGCCCACGCCTGGGGTTCCCGGCCCTGGCGAGAACGTCTAAGCACTTGGACCAAATATCGTGTTTGAGGTCCATCGTGAGAGAATGAGTCCCGTCGTTACGAAGAACAAATCAATTTGATGTGGTTGAAGGTGCGGACATCGGATCGATGGACCGTGTGCTAGTGAAAAACGCGAGAATAGAGCGCAGAAATCCGTACGCATCATCGTGTTCAACAACGTCGGGAAAGCCTCGGCCTGTTATTCACAAGGAATCATTTTCCATCCCCAGTGGACCCGGAGTGCCCCTCGGCCGTGACCGAGGTCTACAATCTATTGATGCGGTCGAATAACTCAATATCGCACTATATCTACGAGGAAAGACTCAAGCCTCCAGATTATAAGGAGATTTTGTTGAAAACGGCGTACTATGCCAAAAGTGAGTCCCTAGAGGTATCGATAGGAGCAGAAACAGTCAACTATACGCTGACTCATTCGGGTCAAAACGAGGTCTTTGATCCTCGATTCTCGATCTGAGACTATTCACGTGGTAACCTTGATTTCAGTCGTGATAACTTGCTTGACCGAGCCCGAGCTGCGTCGCTTGTTGAAGGCATCCGAGGATCTGGGGTATTCAGACACCGGTCGAATGTACTTCATAAACATCCAACTCCCCGGCAAACACTTTTCTGAGTGAGCGCGCGGAATTTATTTGTGTTTCCAATTCAGCGCAACGTATACGTTATTCTGAAATTGTCTGAGCTCGGAGTCTAGTCATCCGGCGCGAAGGAAATGGGGTTGCAAAATTAGACCACGGTATGCCCTCCCTTTTCAGGCATCTCCCGCATTCCCAAAACTTATTGAATATTCGCATTAAACCGATGCCACGAGGACAGATCATCCGAGAACAAATCAAGAAAAGAGTAGAATTCCTTAGCGAAGCGAACTATACCAAGTTGATCCAGGTGAGAGTCTTGATTGGATGAACGGGAGAGAGCCCAATCGACGAAGGAGTCGATCGGTCCAATTAATCGCCTTGAGAGGTTCGTGAGCGCATCGAGTGGAACCTACTCACTGATGAATATCGATTCAATATCGATCGTCTCCAAGAGGAGAGGCTGCTCCATTCACTCGGTGTTCCTTAGCGAAACCTTGTGGGATCGATTCCAGCGGATCGATTCTCGTCCCTTGAAGACCCTGTGCTCCGAAGGCATTGTCGAAGCGAATTCATGATTCAAATTCGATTTCGGCCGTAGGTCTACGATGCCGTGTTCCTGTATGCTTCCGTGCTAGTCGAGCACCGCGACGATCCCAACACGCCGAGAGACATGCTAGAGCGGCTGCTGAAGAAGTCTTCCTTCAATTCGGGCACCACAGAAGAGGTACATGCATGTAAATGGCCACAGTACAGCGGCGTAGCCTGGATTTTTTTTCGGGAGGGTGAGGGGGGCGATCGGATGATCGGCCGCTCCTTCAACGTAGGGGGTATGGAGGGAATATGACGTCCGGTCGGGAGGCGATCGGCCCATCGCCCCCCCCCCTCTCCTGGCTACGCCACTGGTACACAGTACATCTAGATTCTCTTGTTTCCATCTATCTCATCGATCCTACGATCGAAAAATCAAGGCTCGAACTCGATTTTCTGGCGTTCTAGGTTCCTCTGTCGCATGGGCGACCCCAGTTAGAGCTCCAGGTTGTCGCCTACGAAGCGACCGTTCCAAAAGTAGTTTTCGTATTGGGTGGCGACACGGGTGACAGATTGGTGCAAGTGCGGCAGGTGAATTGGATCGAGGGTCACGCTCCCGACGACCAACCTTGGGGCGATCCCGGTAAGGACCGGGGAAGTTAGTACCGCGCTTCCACAGCGACTACTGCCTTAACCCTCCGCATCTAATTTGTTTATTCTCCGGCTCGACGCGGAAATGGGCAGAATTAATTTCGTCGGAATTACAGATCTTCCACAGATGGCCATCGTTTTCGCCGCATTAGGAGCGTTCATCATCGTCCTCGTCGTAGCATTTCTGCTCATCCACAGGTACGCGTCCACGTTGTCGAGACAGTGGTCCACTGTCTAGTGCCGCTCGCGGTATTTCTCGCTGCCAGCTACGCCAAGCCAACCTGCCTGGGCAGATGCTGCTCGTTTTCCGCTTAGGTTCCTGCTTCGCAAATGTAAGCCGCTCCCCTACCTTAGGCACAGCTCGCTGCTCCCTCTGGTCTTATTATTTTCGCGCCCGTTCCAGGTGGATAAAAGCCAACTCGATCGTGACTGGACTCCCAGACGAAGACAACGTGGAAGACGCTCCGAAAGACGTCTCGCAGGAGAACCAAAACCGCACCTATCGATCCACAAGCCCATCGCATGTTCGTTATACATTATTGAACCCTCGCGACCTCGCGATTCCAGACGAGAGATCCGCCCGGTAGTCCACAGGGTCCAGCTCCGTGTCCGGGCCATCGGACACCGAACCGCCGGAGAGCAGCCAGACTCTATTGTAATAATACCCTTGTTCGACCGAATGATCTTGAATATATTGTATTCATTCGAGCGCTCCATTAAATTGACCGCACCGTGGAAATCATGGGACATCCGCTGGAAGTCTGCGGCTCTGTCTGCGAATTTCCCGAGACTTCCTTGTGAGTTGTGAACCCTGGCCTGCATCTATCCCTCAGCTGACGATGAGCTCGGAGAATTCACGACCCCTCTTCAACCTGGCCGTAATCAAGGAGGGCGCCCGATCTGTATCCGATCGAGGTCGCCGAGGGAGCGAAGACCAATGCAGGAGAGTCTGATGATTCACTCACGAAGGAACAATGGGGTCAGAGGAAAATAATCAGGTGCTCTCTGAATTAGAACGGAACGGAAGCAGGACGCGAAGCGATTCGATCCTCGATAGTTTTTTTTGCTCAAAAACTCGATCATTTCTTTTAACGTAGAATATTGTATAGAATATTTACAAGGTGTGATTGATGAATACGAAGATTAACAGAACTCCTTATGTCCCACCACGAATCCGAAAGGAATAAGGAATCCACGAGATGATTTGCTCATTGTTGACTTCCCATAGACTGCTGTTGCTGTTGTTGATGGTGGAGCTGTTGTTGCTGCTGCTGCTGTTGTTGTTGTTGTTGTTGTGCTTGTTGATGTTGGGTTTGGTGATGGACGATTTGTTGCACCGGCTGAACGGTTGCAATAGGTTTCTGGATGTGTTGGATTTGTTGGACTACAGTGGGCCCGGCGGCCACGGATGGCTTCATGGTGGCGACCATAGGCCTGATCGCTGTAATCGCCGGGCGAATCGGTGCAGCTGCTATTGGCTTCATGCCACCTGCGAGAGCTGGCTTGACAGTTATAGCTGCTTGGCGCACCGCCGCCGCAGTCGGTTTCATCGTCGCCACAGGCTTCATGGTCGCTATCGCAGCAGCAGCTGGCTTCAGTCCTGACGCCGTTCTTACAGTTGTCGCGGCGGTCGTTCTAACAGATGTCTGCGCGACGGTTTTCACCGTCGCGAAACCCCCTTTCTGCAGCTGTTGAGCGGTCTGCTTCGCCACCTGCTGTTGTGCCAAGGCCGCGGCCTGGGCCGCAGCTGCCTGTTTTTGTCGTAGAGCAGCCGCCTGCTGCTGGCTTGCTGCCTTCGTTTTGCGTCTCCATTCGATCCACGCGGCGACTTCCGGTTGTCTCGTGTCACCTTTACTGTCGAGTTGGTTGTAATAGGCTTCACGAAGCACGCGATATCCTTGGAGGTTAGCGTAAGCGATGTGAGTCACGGGATCGAAGTATCTGGCGGGTTGACGTGAGATCGGACAGAAGTTCTTCGTCGCCGGGCGAGGTTTGTGTTGAGGGAAGATCTTTTTGAGGATCGTTTCATCTGGGAAGGTGATGAAGTTCCGCATGCAGCGGCCGGTCTCCAAAACGTTCATCTTCCCATCTTGTTTTCCGTCCAGAGATAAGACCTCCTCGCCCTCCGGCGGGCTCACTTCTTCGATGCGCGGCATCGCTATCGATTGGAAGCGTATCATTGGACCTCTCATGACTTGTTTAGCGCGCATCGTTTTCTTCTTCTCCATCTCCAGCTGCTGGTACCTGCGGAGGAATGCGGATTATTCATCGAGTTCAGAGGGAGTCATCACCATATGACCCAAGAGAGATGATTCACACGACGCGCGAACTCGAGAGCTTAGACAAATAGACATGCGGGAAGAAAACAAACCTTTCCAATGACTTGATATTCTCAATTTCAGTCTGTTTCGCTTCCTCGAGCAGCTCTTCCTGCGTAATTTCTCTTTCTTCTTCTCTCTTGATCCGACGCCTATTCTTCGCGGACTCGGCCTCTTGTCTCCGTCGGGCCTCGACAGCTTGGCTTTTGGCTTGCGTCGATTTTCGTTTGGATTTCCTTTCCTCCAAGGACTCGAGGGTGGAAGTATCCATGAGCTCATCGTCGATGCTGCGACGTGGTCTCTTTGCTCGTGGCTCGCTCGTCGAGGGTCGGCTCGCTGGAAGCACAGGGACGGAACTTGACGCTACGTTCACTTACAGCTCAGTTATCCTGTTCACGCGCAGGAGAGAGCTGGAAGAGGTGCTTCTTTGGGAGCATAACTCACCTTTAGGCTCTTTGTAGGCTTTCGTGGACACGGCTCTCCGCTTCCTCGGTCTTCCTTCATCTTCCTGATCGCTGACGACCTCATCATTCTCGTCAATGTCGAAATCTGAGTCCACTTCATCTTCGGAGCCTGAAGTAGCATCGTCCGACCCGAAATCTTTGTCGTCTTCCTCTTCCTGAAAGTCGGATATCTTTCTTCTAGAAATGTCCTAAATTATGGAAAGTCCACCGAATAATCCAGATGGGGGCAGAAAGTAGAAGGAAGGGAACCCTGAAGAAAACCCCTCATGTTATTCGGAGGAAGAGTCAATTTGACGATGAAACTCACAAGGAAACCTCCGTAGGTAGTTTTGTAGAAGTCGTCTTCCTCTTCAGCACTCAAGAGTTTGGCCATTTTGCTGCCCGCATTACTCCTGGGGGCCCTCTCCAGCGCGAGACCCGGTTCCGGCCCGTCATCTTCAGAACCCGATCCACTGTCGCTGCTCATCTGGAAGGAGCGACCAAGCTTTAACCCCAAACTGTCTATCTCCGGGCTCCTATATCACTCTCATGAGTGACTTCGATAATTCAGGCTTTCATAGTCGTAAAATTGTCGATCATGAAGTTTATTCTGAACATCAGGGGTTCCAGAGAAGGAAAATAGACAGCTTTTTGAGGAGCCGATACTCGGATTCAGACCCCAGGGACTATGCGTTCTCTTGGCTAATGGGCCCTTCCCGGAAAATAAAGTATTCTTATGAATTCATCCTCTCCTTGAGAAAGACTTGAGCGTACAGAATGGACTCGACACATCCGATGATGCACCCGGCAGAAGAAATATAATTATTCAAGTGGCACATAAGAAATAATGTGCATGGACCGGCGTATGTAGGGGCTCGTGCATATGAGGGGAACGTTCGTGCGCGAGCAGCCGATCCTCACCAGCGATCAACGCGAACGTCTGAACGCCGATGAAGCTCTTCTCTAGACGCTGTATGCTCCTCTGGAGAAAGCCACCGCAGAAGTCTCACCTCTCGACTCGATAGGAATAAGCTCCAGAGACACGTATCACTTTGAAGTTGGCGGCAGGATTTGTGCGTTGAATTCCCCCGGAGATGGAATGGACTTTGAGATGGGGAGCATCAACAATGAATAGTTCCTTCAAAACTGAACACCGAAGCTCTCGGCGGCTCGGCGCTGGCTCTGTTTGGTTACGGCGGCCGCCATCATTAATTTTCATCGGAACGCTGTGGCGCGAAATTCGAAAACTGCGCGATTCGCTCTCACGAGTCTCGGTCGATCGCTGATCGTTGCTCTGAATGACCACCAGCGTGTGTGTCCAGTGTCCAGAGGACGACATTCGCGTTTTCGGATGCAGCTGGGATCAAAACTGGTCGAGGGATTTCAATGGCGTACAAAAATTTACAATGAGCGGAGGAAAGAGTTCCGAGCGCAAGTCCACTGAATCTTCCTCTACTCTCTCCGAAAGAAGCGTCGAAAATAGGGGCAAGAGCCCGACGTGACCTACAGTTTCCGCGATCATCTTCGATATTCTGTCCGGAATGATCGGGGATTCAAGTATTGGCTCCCACCAAAGATGCCTCCCCGGATATCTCAGCTCCTCCGCGGCCTTTCCGTCTTAGACGATTCGAAACCTCCGTCGAACTCGGAGCCCTGCCTGAAGTCCTCCAACAAGACACGGAATGAGGAATGCCGGTGGATTTCTCGGATTCCCTATGAATGAGTCCCTTCCTTCGATCTGGGGCAGCGGATGGACGACGTACCGGGGTAGATTGGGCAGGATTTTCATGAGAACCAATCGAGGAGGTACAGTCGGCGTATGCTATACAATCTGCTGCTCCACGGAAACTGGCATTCGAGCTTTAGCCGAACTGACGCCCGACCAACCCCATTTGTCGGCCGTGGCCGACACGATGTCTTACTTCTCGTTTGCCCAGGTATCGAGTTTGTATTTTATATTGCAAAGAGGAAGAGCTCGAGAAACGGGCTACATGGAGCCGCTTTGTAGACAGAATTCCGTAAGGGGGTACGGAAGAAGCTCTCCGATTCTTCCTCGCATTCGTCCATGCGGATGGTTGATCGATTGCGGATGCTCTTCAAGCCGTCGTCATGATCGACCTGGAGGATCGAGGATGGATCGGGAACTAATTCAACGGAACCCCTCAAGCCGATGGATGAACCTCCCAGAATGAATCTCCCGAGATCTGGGTCGCAGATCACGATTCTCGGGCCCTCCGGGACCTCGATCCTCCACGCTTTGGGTAGATCAGACAGACCGAACACTGGTGATTGTAGGAACAAATATGGGACTCACCGCCCCGTCGCATTCGAAGTCCCCAGCAAGATCATCTACATCATTCCCCGCGCTACAACCTTTTCCTTACATATCGCCTCTTCTAGGTCTCGTACCTCTTGCATAGAGATCTCATCGTATTCATCCGATCCCTCGCGGGATACAGTCTCGCGAGGGGAGAACCGCAAAATCGGAGGAAGCGGATATTCGTGGGTCTAAATCTGACACTTCAAGCTTCAAGTGGAGGGGGTCGGCCGCCATTTTGGAGCCAGTCAGCTGTGCGTCCGAGGAGATGACTTCAGATACGATCCAGCCCTGACACCATGAAGACCCTGCTGCTTTTCGCCGTCTCGTTGACGGTTTCTAACTGTCAATTGTTGGGAGGTGCGCGGGAGACCGCGATCGAAGATGCTATCATCGCAGAAGTAGCCCATTTTGCAGTCTCTTCGCATCCCGGAGAAACTTCAGAAGACGGTTTCTACGACGCACTTGAGAAGATCAACAAAGCTGAGAAACAGGTAGGTGTAGACTTTTGACGATAATATCACACGTAGCCGATGGGAAGCAAGACATCACTGGTAAAATGGAATATGCTCGATTCGCTGGGGGGTCGAGACTACGATAAACCGTTCTGGAATTTCTTCTTTGAAGCCCGTCCAAGAGCCTCATGGAATCGTCCAGAGACTCCGTAAGGGTTTCCGTCACGAAGAATGCAAAGCTCTTGAAGAATGATATAGAATGTTACTATCGATCGTTCGATTAGCTGCTGCCTTTCGCCTGACGCGAACGAGGCTATCTAAAGAAACGTTACGATCACTCTTCGAGGGCCCGGAGTATTGCTTCTCAATTCAAATCAACGACTACGCTCGGGAGGTTCTCAAATATTCATCTTGCTCCGGCCCTATGGATGAATTCTGTCCTCGAATAGGGAATGGAGTTCGGGGATGCGCCCCAGACCGAGTGATGCCCCGAATTTTCGATAATCCTCTCGAGCGAGAAATCACGCTTAGAGGTTGGAAGGTGCACGACGGATTGGGTTTTCGAGCTGCGAGTGCTTAGCACCGACGGAAGCATTTTATCAAGACTGTGTCATCGAAGTGCTCATCATTTGGAGTACTCTCGATCTTAGTCGATAGGACCTACCCGAATTTCTTTGCCGGGACCAGTCTCATTCAGCGTTGTAGAAGGCTCCTGAATTGCAGGCAGCGCGAAGCTCCATCGCAGGTACGGGCTCCAGGCATGATACGCGGAGCCCGCATCAGACGTTTATTATGCTTTAGAGCATATTACTGGTGCTTCGAATTCGGCGGATGGGAATCATCCTGTCCAGCCGAAAAGGGGTAAATTTAGAGGATTACGCAAGGATAAAATGAGGAGATACCTCGATGACACTTTCCTCTCTTCAATCTCAGACGGTCGCTGGAACTCTGTACACTTTGGACCTCCAAGTCGGAGCCTCAGGATGCACGCTGAAGAGCGAGTACGACCGCGCTCGCTGTAAGGTCAAGGCATCGTCAGCATCTCGTCGCTGCATCGCCAAGGTCCACGTCCAAGTTTGGATGAAACCCCAGAATGCTGTGACTGAATGGAATTGCGAAAGCTAGATTCCTGAAAGAACCTCGATTGTTACACGCAAACGGAGGAACAACTTCTCGTATCTTTCACTGAGCTCATGATATTTTTCCAATAAAATCTGATATCAGACTCGATATCAGCTTGTTCCGTTTAAGTGGTCGTTGTATTCCTTAATCCGGTGCGATCGTCTCATGATGAGTCTTCGAGGTCACGGTCCAAAAATCTCTATTCGATGCGTGCATTTCTACGATGCGACTATGATATCCGAATGCTCTGACGAATCTCGCTTCAATAATTTAGCCGTAGTGTGCCTTTCATCAAGATATGTCGAATTCCAGTGGCGAAGGAGCCTTCTAGTGTTTCCGGGACTATGAAGGTTCCATCGTGGGGGATGAGCATCAGAAAGAGCCTGAAAAAAAATTCTACTCACTGGTGGAAATCAATTGCAGATATGCCCATCATAGTCACCCAATGGTGTCTGGTGGTAGCGCGTGGGAATGGAATCAAGCCCTTAAATCAAATTAATTACGAGGACGAAATCTCGACGGGCATGAATCGGTCTCATCAATCGCTTGCGGCCCAGCTAAGTCCACGCAGTCACGCAGTGGGAGCGGGTCCGTGCTCGCCCGACCGTAAGCTCGGGGACACCACTTTTCGACGAATTCCCGAGTGTTTCCGAGCTCGCTTTGTTTCCCGATTGAAGACCCGGAAATCAATTTGATTGAGGATCATCTTGAGTTCAGCGAAGACCGGCACCTCCATTGCCTTCCAGATCGCGGCCCTAAATTATCCTGAAATAAGAGTTTACATTGTAGAATCTACAGTAAAGCCGGAACCTTTTCTGCTCGATGCGCCACTAGCAGTTCCGGGATAGTCTTATTCTCTTGACACATTCTCCATGAGCGGGCCGCTGTCCTCAAGAAGAAGCGCAGCTGACTCCATCCTCCATTTCGGTGTGCGAGAGTGCCCTTCCCCAAAAGCGAGCAATCCTCTCGAAGGGCTTCTCATCCCAAAAGCATTCATCGGCCCGCCAGCATTCGTGTCGCAGCATCCAAGAGGCGCAAACATGAATCGTCTTCTGTACATCGTGCCCCTTCTATTCGCCGTCGTATCGGCTCGCTTGGGTGAGTTTCGCTTTATTCAATGTGGTCCGGGACCTGAAGAGAACGCTTCGGGCGAGCGGACTGGAATCCTTTACTCCATCGAAATCGGGAAATTCCCAGAGTTACGCCGCTCGGATGTGGAGGGACATCCTAAGAAGTACCTGAAGATATTTGGGGGATGAGCTTTTACCGCGGAAAACGAAAGGTTAACGTAGTGTGGGATGCCGGGGCAGGATGTTTGGACGATGCATCAGCCGGGGGTTTTTCGCGCATGCGCAGTGAGTTTTCCCCACTGAAATTCGCCTCGTCGAAACTAGCTTTGAAACGCGAAATTCGAGACGACCCCTCCCCAAAGAGGCCCTGCTCACGGAAGGCAAAATCTTTTCGTCCTACGGAGAGGGCATCCGTCCCGCATTATGAACTCTGATCTGCCGTGGATCGCTTCGATATGCACTAAGACGATCAATCGCGACAACCATCCCAAGAACGCAGTCTCCTCTGAAGGAAATGCGCCATGTCTGGCGGGCGAGCTGGGTGCATCGAAGAGGAAGAGGTCCTTTAGAAGTAGAATCATATTAGTGGAGAGCATCGGATCGCTGCAAACCTCGGGAGACGGACACTCACATTGGAAGAAGGCTGGAAGTCCCACGGATTCCACCGGGGACCGATCCCCGCTCGACGACGAGAAGCCTCCGGGAAAATTCTGCGGGCACCGAAGTCTAAAGTCTTGAAGAAGAGTCCTCCCCATCCTTCGTCTATCCGAAAACTCATTTGGTACGCCCGCTCTCGGTCATCGGTGAATGCTGGCGGAACGTTCCAACCCCCGTGACGCTTCTTGGCGGTGCTTGAGTACCGTCGCTTGAGATCTGTCATTATCAGCACTCGGTGAATGGGCGAAGTTCAATAGCGCAGATACACTTTGCCGGACACGAGATGGTGACCTGTTGCGTTATTAGCAGAGATTGGACTTCATTTGTATCAAGAACGATTCCGAGTCTCCACGGCGACGAGTCTCTTAGCTCACACACAGAGGCACTGCGGCGAGATTGTGCTCGTCCGTAGAATGCCATTTCTGGACGCGTTTTTTTTCGGGGAACAGGCATGAGTTCGCCCTGGGCGAAGCGGACGATCCGGATCCATCGAGCACAAGGATATTCATAAGGGATATTCATACCCGGTAGAAAACAAGTATTTCTTTCCGAGAAATTCTCTGAGAGTACATTGTAAGCGCACTGTCCTTCCGACAGCGACGTCATTCTGGTTCGAAGAGGGTTCGTCCCAAGTACATGATACCAGCCGAGACGATGTTCTTGAACGCTTGACTAGATCTGTGGGTGAGTTGTCAAGTCGGCACTTTTTGTTTATCGATTTCCTTTGTGGGGTCCCTGTTTCCGTTGGGTTGGAATGTCGATTCCCAATCCCGCAACCACGTCGGAATGTGCATCCGGGAATAGATGTTCGCTTTTGGAAATTCGAGAGGTCGAATGAGTCACCGAGGAATATGTCGATGATCGGAATCACTCGGTTTGACCGTGCTCTCGCGACGACGTCAGCTTGTTGATCGTCAGGCGAAAACGGGCGAACCGACAGGAATACAGGAAGGAATACCTACTTTCCAGACAATGATGTGCCGTCCGAGAGCTCCAATAAATATCATCTTCATGAAACATGTCGTGTAGCCCTCCAAAATCAGATCGACCGCGAACTTCACGCGTCGCTGGTTTACCAACAAATGGCCGCTCACTTCGAGAACAATAAGGTAGCCCGGAAGGGATTTGCAAAGTTTTTCATGGACAACTCAAACGAGGAGCGCGACCACGCTCAAAAGCTCATCTCGTACATTAACTCTCGCGGTGGAACAATCGCCGCCTTCAGAGTCTCGGTAAGCTTCCACCATTCTCCAGATCTCTCAATCGGAGTACAACCGCGCTACGGCAACTGGAATTTCCCTTTCATTCCCTGACTGATTTTTTGAATTAAAGATGCCCAAAGACACCACCTGGGCTTCAGCCAGAGCGGCCCTCGAATCCGCTCTTGAGCTCGAGATCGAGGTGAACAACGCTCTACATGAAGTGCACGGCAAAGCCGAACGAGACTGCACTGATCCCCAGGTAGATAGATCCTATGACGAATTCGTTTCGCACGTGCTGGTGGGCACGTGAGCAATGGCTCTCAGGACGATTCCTGTTTCTAATTCATCTCCGCTCTCCCAACAGCTCCAGGACTTCCTTGAGGCGAACTTCTTGAATGAACAGGTGGAATCCATCGACAACATTCACCGTCTGCTCGCCACCCTCAATGGGATGGATCAAGGCCTCGGCGAATACCTGGTCAACAAGGATCTCCAGTGAAAGATTACGCAGCGAGCGTGTTCCTAATAGTTTTTTCGAAAATGAAAAGGATGATGTTTCCATGAATTCGAAGAATTTTTTTCTTTCACAACATTGGCTTCGCGGAGATTGAAGAATCGTTCCAGAGTGGAACAGTTCTGAGCACGAAAATAGAGGGCGGGGAAGGCCATAATCCGACCGCGATGGCTAACTATCAAATCATTCTCAATAATACTCAAGCACGAAAACCCACATGTCGATCCCTTACCACGAATTTCGTAAGGGTCGCTCGAGAGGAATCTCACTACATGACTTCTTCCTCGAAAGTCACGAGTGTTCCAATGTCGAGTCAGGTAGTCGTTTCGAAATCGGATTCCATCCTCTCCATTGCATAAGGAGGACGGGAAATTGAATTTCTTCCCGGCCTGAGCGCATCTAGCGTTTTTTTCAGCGGCGCTCGCCATGGTTCGATCGTCGAGTCGAGATCAGTTGCCTAGTAGAAGTCAGCAAGGGGCCGAAATACGGACCGTAGATTCCGTCTCAGTCGCTGATCTCGGGGACTTCTGGAGGTTCCCAAGAACCAAGTTCTCTCTTTTGAATACGCGCTTAAAAGCGCGACCATCGACCTTCACCCTACGACCTCTTTTGTCTGACAGTCCACTCATCGAAGGATGAGGTGGACGTCGAGTCCGTGATCTTATGGGGCACATAGGGACTTCAGGGAATTCGGGACTCTGGGTTTTGACACTTTCTCTCCGATGTTGCAATAATGCTGTTTCTACCCCAAACCTTGAGAGTGAGATCATAGTCGACCCTTGAAGGTCCGTTCTCGTGCATATCCTTCAGAAGCTGAAACACACATCAAGTTGCCCCGCGTCAGATCATGGGTGGAATGCGAACATTGAGCAGCGGAGCCTCATTAGACCCGATGGAAAGCTGGATTGATAACAGAATACGGAGAGCGTGTGAGAGCCACGGAATCTTCTCTGATTATTCGAATTTTGCCGCGGAAAGATCTCTCGGCGTCTATCCCTTCTGTTTTGGGGCCGCTCACTCCCCGAACCTCTCTGCTCTCTGCCCGACACTTTCCAAGCTCTCGTCCCGAGATAGTTAAGAAGAGTGCGCTAAATATCAACATTGTACATAAACCAGGGAATGATTTCTATGTGTTTCTCCATACAACCGGTGAGCTCCTCAATGTGCGATGAATAGTCTGGAGGGAAGGATGACTCTTCTGGACAGTGCTGGAACCGCTATTCGCTCAGGCCGGCTGAGCGCGAACGTGAGATAGAGCAGTCCGAAGTTCGAAGTTCAGAACGTAGACACTCCCTACCCGTTGGGACTAAGTCAAATATAACTATATTTTACGCAAAATGCGAAGGAGCTGACAATCAGAGTCGATGATCTGATAGGCAGTGCGCCAAGAGATTCCTCGAGACCTCCAATGATGACCTAGCGATCAGCTACTATCTTTGTCGGCTCGAAAAAACCTCTTTCATTTCAAGCCCGGAGTGTGTCCGCAGGATTTTGAAACAAGTTTGGGGAATTCCCGACGCGGAGTGTGAAGGAACCGTTATAGAGTCCTTTGCGATGCGCGAGTTCGACCCCTACTTGCTAAGAGCTTGATTGTATGCGGGCTGGGGAAGTCGGCTGAGGTTCGCGACACTTGCTTCGATATGCTTGACCAAGGATATTCCGCCACGGACCGTTGGGCAGCGATTCGCGCTCTTGTCTTGAGACGGATTCAGCAAAGATCTCCCGCCTCCATAGCTACTCTCTGTCGATTCCGATTAAGAGAGTTGACCTAAACTTTTCCGATTTTTCTCTCGATGAATCGCCTCGAACTCCGCGCGAATGAATAGAGTTGGACTGGCGCATTCTCCTTTGATTGACCGATCCGCATGTCAATAAATCTCGTACTAATTCTTCCGACGGAGTCCAGGTCCGGACTGTGACCACAACCATTGGAACGGATTTCAGGGAGTAAGCGTGTCGCTCTCCTTCCAGCTCGCGGAACTCGGCTTCATCTTCGATTGATTGAGCCCGTAGGGGATCATCAGGGCCAAGATGGCCTCATCTATGACCCGCATACAAACGACCTCTTATAGCAAATTCGAAGACTTCCAGTATAAGTACTTTTTATCGATATGCGCAGCATCGATAGCGGAGACAGTGACATACCCCCTGGACATAGTCAAGACCCGTCTCCAAGTCCAGGGCGAGGATCTGGCGAGAGGCATACGGACGAAGAAGCCGAAGGGGTTCTTCAGCATCGCCATGGGTACGCAGAAATCCCATTTAGCGCTAATGGGCCGAGCTTGACAGCGGGGACCGATACATCCTTTGCTTGTAATCTGACTCATTTCAAATCAATCAAAACGTTTTTTTTCACTCTTCTAGAGTAGATTTCGGTGTTTAAAATGATGAATAAACTTGAAATGCAACTCATTTCAAATGTAACATTCGAACCGGTTCGCCTTACAGGGATTATCCGGAAGGAGGGCGTGGTCCAGTTATGGCGCGGAATCCCCCCAGCCATCTATCGTCACTTCATCTACAGCGGGTGTCGAATGACAATCTACGAAGGGGTTCGGGATGTCTACCTCGCCGATCAGAAATCCAATCAAGTGTTGAAAAGTCTTTGCGTGGGAGTCTTCGCCGGAGGTCTGGGACAGTTCCTCGCCAGTCCCGTAGATCTTGTCAAAGTCCGCATGCAGATGGAAGGTCGTAGACTTCTCCAGGGCCTTCCCCCCAGAGTCACGAGTACTTCGCAAGCGTTGCGAGACATCATCAAGGAAGGCGGGGTGCGCGGACTTTGGAAGGGCTGGGCACCGAATGTCTATCGAGCCGCCCTCGTCAACCTCGGAGACCTGACGACATATGATCGGGCGAAACGTTTCATTCTTGCCAACACCACTCTCGAGGACAACTATGTCAGCCACTCATTAGCATCCTGTTGCTCAGGTTTTGTTGCGGCGATCCTGGGCACGCCGGCGGACGTCATACGAACCAGAGTCATGAACCAGCCGACAGACGAAAGGGGCGCCGGTACGCTGTACAAGTCGTCGACAGATTGTTTAGTGAAGACGTTCCGAAAAGAAGGCTTTTTCGCACTTTACAAAGGATTCTTCCCCATCTGGGCGAGGATGGCACCCTGGTCTTTCACGTTCTGGGTTTCTTATGAGGAACTCCGTCGAATAGCTGGAGTAAAAAGTTTCTGAAGCTTTTTGGAAGTCGAAAGCGGGGTTCACAATCGCATGTTGAGCTCGAATGCAGGTTGTTAGCGTACCCCGAGCTAATACCGGTGGCACCTCCACAAGACTCAAAAGTTCTATTTTCTAGAACATTAATTGTTGATTCATTGTTGATTGGAAAACGTTTATTTAAGCATAGATTTACGGATTGTGAGTCTCTGGCACAGGCATACATGGGAGCCGACTTGTAGTCTGACAATTAAATGCAATAAATATGTGTCGTGCGTCGTGCCGATATGACGACGTCAATGCTTATCGCACCCGTAGTCCTAAGGTGATCGAGCTGAATTACTAAATTCTACAGTCTCATGCATGGAGCAGGAATTCTGGGTCGTGTTTCGAGCTCCAGGTATGGCTGAGGAAGATGTTGACGGGGGATGCGCCTCGCGAACTTATTCTCTCGTCGAACCGTGCCCAAAACGCCACCGGGAAAAGGAAGAGGAGCACACCATTCAGTTGCGCGGCAGAATCATCTCTCGGTAGTAACGGATGAATGTTGTCATAAGGGGCCAAGATCGATCGATGGAGACACAACCACGCGTATCGCTCTCAGAGACGCCTTCTGAGTTGATCGTCTCAAGCTCATTGAGCCCGTAACTCATCGACAGCCAAGCCCCGGCCAATCACTCGAGTGACTCTGATCAAGATCCAGTCGGAAGCCTCCGCCTCAGCGGAAGAGACCTTCGCTCCTAGGCTCTGAGACCATCAGCGTGTGCGACCGAGCTGAACAGCTCGATCGATCTCTAAGACAAGCTTCACGATTCAACCTACAACTTCGAGAGCTTCAATCATCGAAGCTCGAGTTGTCGAAGAGTGGAGCATTCGCTTTGAAAAGTCTTCCGAAGGCGAGTCATTTGTGTTCTCACTCAGAGCTTTTCCTTCCAGCCCTAAAGGAGTCTGAGCTTGACAAGGAAGTTCGCTGGGCCTCCTCTACCAGCGACGCCAAGAATCGAACGACCCTCGTGAGATATCGGGATCCGAGTGCCACTAGTCCGACTTGAAATGCTCGACCAACAGCCCGTATCGAATCACAATATTTCGAGAACAGCTCGCCAAGTTTCTCCGAGTTTGTGATCGTCGCGGGACAATTTTTTATGTAGCACTCTCTTTCCTCTCAGTATATTTGCTGAACTGGAGGAGCAAAGAGATCGGACCCTTACTCCAGAAAAGAGGCAGGAAGCTCCGGGAGTACTTCCAATCATCTCCATGGTACCGGTCCACGCCATTGTGCTGCTCGAACTCCCCAAGACCCTCAGCGTAAAGAGGGTCCTCGGAGTCGATTCTCTCTCGCTTCATGCTTTTTACCTCTTCCTCCTCGTGGTTTTTAGAGAAACAGTCGAAAGTTTGCTGAAGAGTCTCAGCGAAATCCATCTCTCGCTCTTAGATACTGAATTGGACTTGCAAGTATCGACAGCGAAAACATGGCAAATGCGAGACCGAACCCGCGAGATAAATCGGTTGTTCCCGGTGCCGCTCTCCATATACTAATTATCGATTCACTACTCATAATACTATTCATCGATTTCTTTGATGATTCTGTACAATGTTGCTCAAGTGATCCAAAGTGATAGAGCGCTGTGTGAGCTCATTCTACTGAATAAATATTCAGTAGAATAGTCTCGCCAGTTTGGTCACTCAGCTCCTCTTACTAGCGTGGCGTGCATCGAACTTCGCGTCGCTGTCGCAACTCGAGCGGAAAAAAAAGTTCTCCGATTCTTGAGTCGTGAGAATCTCCTCCGATCAGCACCTTCCATAATTTTCAAAGTCGAATCCTGCAGGTTCCCCGACGACAGGAACTCCTTGCGGGTCGGCTGTTTCGTTTAAAATATGCCGAACTTCCTCAAGTACGCGTCCGCCGTCACGACGCGCGTCGCTGAAATACTTCAATTCGACGTCAAAGTTATGCAGAAATCAACTCATTGATAGCTCTAGATTAACAAACGCATTCAACCAAGTGAAGTCGCTATCGTCGCTCCAGCATTGAGCGCTCGAATGCCGAACATCAACAGATGAGTTGATGTGACCACAAGCTTCGTCGGCCCTGGCACGCCAGAATACCCAAAGTACCTCGAAACTCCCACATCAGAGCCCAGCAGAATGCAGTTTCAGCAATGGCCGCGGAGTAGAATTCCGGGTGGGAGTTTCTGTGAAGTTGCAGCATGTGTATCTCAATCTTTCTGTCTGATTCATCTAGAAATCCGTCATGTTCGGACACGGTTAAGCTTTCCGCGCAGTTGCATCGCGATGAGAATCCCAGAGGAACCCCTCTTGCCCGATTCATACTGGAGAGACCCCATCCTATTGTAGCCGGGTCGAACGGAAAGACTTCCTCGTGTCATCGGCAAATGGGATATCCGGGACCGAGAGCACTTGTCCTAGGGGCAAACACAGTTGCAGTCGTCTTTTATTTTTGGCTTGCGAGGACCTACTTGCTCCACGGGCACACAGAATGGACTTTTTGCCTCGGTATCGACGAACTGGATCCCCCGCCCGGGCAAATTCTGGGTATGATTAAAGGTGATAGCGCTCCAGTTCTCGCTCTCCACGTCGCATTCGTCAGCCTCGTATTGAGCCCTGCCTCCCATGCAAGAGTACGAGAACATGGTGCACGGACTCTTCACGTCGATGGCTTCGGCATAGAAAAGTTGTGCCCGAGAGTGCGAACAATGCGGACCCATCACTAGGGGAGGAGAAGATGGTAAATCAAATAATCCACTAAATAAAAATCAATGATGCATGAACAGGATCAAAATGAACAACGCCTTGGGATCGACTGATACCACTTCTCTGGAATCGCGTGGGATTTCGGAAGAAGTTCCCTACTCACCCGCGAGGCACCCCGGTTGCGGAGAATCACCCCCATTCATGTAGAAATCCACGTGACCTATGGGAATCGACATCCCGTATGAAGTTCCATGACCTGTTCCGCTCGACGTGTGAATAACCTCTACGAATTCCGCCATTGAAGTGTTCAGGAACAAGTTTGAGCTCTCGTAAAACGGCGCAGCGGGATCGAGAGCTGGAAGTATGAACGCCGTCGACTTGGAGAAGACGAAAATTATGATCGCCAAATAAAGAGTATTCGATTCAGAGAGAAACTCAGGATACTTCGGAAACTCCCGGATGACGCCAACGTCTTTGGAGAGAAAAGGAAAAATGGCTGGTCGTATTCTCGACCCATCCTTAGAAGGGAGCTACAAACCCGTGATTTTCGAGATGATTCTACCGCCGCTGATTTCGCTGAAGTAGTCCCAGAAATATATCGTCATCTGCGCTCCCAGGGAATGTCCTATCCAATGCGTGTTCTCTGGAGATATCTTCCCACTCGTGAGATCCATCAGTTTGAATAAGATCCGGGCGACCTGTCTCCCAATCAATTGGCTGTTGATGATCGCCTGCTTGTAGGGAACGCTACCGAGAGCTCCCTGAGCCCAGTCTACAGTGACCACTGCACAATCGGTCTGTGGGGGAATGGGAGCTTCAGATGAAGTTCCCCTCGCGCTGAAAATTCCATTCTCTGTAGGCTAATCAAACTTGCATTTTCCAACGATTTCTTCATCAAATCGATCACCCAGTTCGCGTAGGACTCTGACGTGAAGCCATGCACGATGACAATCAATTCAGTCGGTTCATGAATCAACTGAACCGCTGCCGAAACGTCCATATATGTGAATCGGATACCTGTCCTCTCATTCCTTCAATCGAGAAGAGATCCCGGTCAATAGCTCACGTGATCCGGAGAACGTGTTCTGCGGGAATCCGAGCTGACTCGAGTGATATCTCGCGTTTCGAGTCGAGTCAAAGCATTCGTGGAGACTCACCTCCTATAGATGCGGCAGAAGGATTTGACCACCAATGAGCCGTCTGGGAGACCACCCAGTCCGTAGGCTTCATTATCGAAACATCCTAAGCCGAAGTAGCAGGCACCCTCGTAATCCTTTCTCATTCGTCTCTTACTCGCATCGCTCGCATCTGTTTCGTTCCTCTTAGGTTTGGGTTTCCTGTCCTTGTTCCGTCCCGCGGGGGGTCTCCGGTCGGCCGCTAGGCCTGAACGACCCGGATAAGAGGCGAGATGAGCAGCTCCCTGAGCCATGCTTCCGTATTCCACGGTATGCTTCCGCATGACTTCTCCATATCTTCCCAAGATTCCAGATTTGCCCCGAAGGCCCTTGCGTCGCTGAAGTTCGTAAGCGGAGCATATCTTCGCGATATCTTCTTCCCTCAGATTGGCTCTTGACGAGCACGAAACCACAGACAAGAAGAGCAGGAGCAAGAGCTTCATAGCTTCGGGAGTATTCAGCAATCTCGACGAAAGGTCCTCGACTCCCGTACCTAAGGAGAAAAAGCTCCCGAGGGCTCAAGATTGCCCTCTTGGAGAGGCCTCTGATTCGAGAGAACTCCATATTCCACTGCATGATTCTGAGCTAATTACCTGTATCAGAGCTCGGTGATAGGGGAGGAAGTGACGGGGAAACTTATGCTGCATCTGAAGCCCGCGGGAAAGCAGACACCCGTGCGGAAACAGGTAAGGTGAGGAGGGGGGCTTGCCTTGTCTGTTTCGGCAGATAATCATGCACTCACTCCGCTAGAGAGAAGCACCCGGAGCCGCTTTGCCATGTGGCTCCTGAATGTCATGAATCCGACGCACAGCTCTCGATGGTCTCCGCCGAGGCACGCAGCGGCTTGGCTTCTCACGCATAGAGACCTTAGCTATTTCGATACTTGATGAGCTTCCAAACTTTCTCTCCGAGAAATGTCGTAACGCTTCGTGATGCATGGGTCAGCGAGAGATCATCTCTCTCCACATGGCGTCTGTCAGAACAGTGCCCTTCAATCGGCTTTGGAGCATGCTTCTCTGGGAGATTCCGCAGAGATATCTGCGGACTTCCGAGTTCAAGCCGAGAAGCCAGACCTCGTTGAATAACGAGTCTCAAGCGTGAGCTATTCGTCAAACTATCAAATTGATTCCGATGGTGAATTCTGCTTTTGTAGTGGCCGCAGTGATCCCTAAGGAGTCGAAATCACGGGAGATCTTCCTGACTGAAATTTCCAATCGAACCGAAAAAGCCGCTGTCCCGTATGGTACCGATATACAAATCATTTATTTACAAGGACAGTTCGTACGGATTTAGCTGGAGCTAAAAATTCAACATGATGCGAATATGAGGAGAGAATTTCTCAATCTTCAGCCATTTTACGTATGTGCTCGTAGCCACCGTGTAGAATGTATTGGAATGAATCGCTATTACGGATGTCCGCCAGTAGCTCACTTTCCAGGAGATCTTCGATAGCGGGCATGAATTTCTTAAGATCACGATCTTGCATGAAGCCCAACTCGATGATTTGGAAAAACAGGAGGTCCCTGGAAGAGATATCGACGCTGTCATCCATATGTTGAACCCATGCGTCTCTCGGAATTCGTCAGACTTTTCAAAGAGCAAGTATATTTGACTACCAGCAACTGGCTCCATCCGATCGATCGAATGCAAGGATCTAGAATATGACACCGGCTGCGCTGACATTCCGTGATTACCTCATGATATCCGTGATGTAGCTCCCTTCTTGGAACTCCCAGTCATCCTGGAGAACTGCCTTAGCCCAGATGGTTCTACGCAACGCGGGTCGCTCGTCTTCCGCGACGAACTCCAAGAGATCCAGGGCTACGGACAAAATCAGATATGGTGCCCAGAGCAAATCAGCATGATTTGGAAGGTTTCTAGACATCATGCACTTAACTCACCGATTTTATAATCCATATCCTTCTTGGAATTGGAATCGCAGATGAATTTGATCATCTCAATAGGCTTGAGGACTGGACAAGTTTCCGGTGTGAAGCCGTTCCGGTCCAGTATTTGGGGCGATAAGCTCTCCTGACGATAAAAGTGAGAGTGAGTTATGTGTCGTTCGGGCCGGACCATCGAGGCTCAGCCAGTTCTGACTCTCAACTGACCTGAATGGCGATGATGTCGTGCATACTGTATATATCTTGCAGCTGTTCCTCTGCTTGTTCATCGGTACTCGCGAGAGCCGCCAATTTCGCTATGCTGACCTGCAATAGGAGGGGGAACGTTTCGACCATCTTAGCTTGAACGAGAGGTCCACAATGAGGTGCACGGCGATTCCTCCGTCTCTTTGCAAGGGCACACCCGAGGAAAACCTCGACTAGGGATCAATATGGCTAGGAGGGCTTCAAAATATTCACTATAGCATCCGCTTTCGATCTTAAGTCAGAGCAATCAATAATGACCTGTAGTTTCTTCCGGCACAGTAAGCGCTCCTCCCTCTCCGCGAGTTGTTTCAAAGACTGACAAGCTTTCAGGAAATCGCCTGTCTTTATACTGTGCAACCAGTGGAGGTTCGAATGTGATTGAAGGAACTTCGACAGCTGGGCGTTGAAAGCCGACGGTTGGGTGAGCAATTTGTCACGTTTTCCGGAGTCGACGTAATACTGTGAAATCGATGGCGAAATTCAGAGTTCTATATTTTCGCCACCAGAGCAGAGACCGGAGAATTCGGTCGGAAGTCTTCCCTGATTTGGTTCAAGGGCGGATTCTTACCTGGAAGACGTACTCGGAGAAATTTTCCCCAGCAAACCTATCCATGTACTCGAATAGTTTGTTTTGTTGACCTGTTTCTTCGCAAATTCGCACCAACAGGGGGAATTCGAAGAACTCTTCCGCTAAACACGCAGCGACATCGATGTGCCTGGGAATCCGAAATGAAATCCGTGAAGACAAGACCGCAGAGGGAGTTGGTCGGCGAGTGAAGAGAGATGCTACACGGGAACTCACTTGTGTTTGTAGAAGTAACCAATCAGTTTCTGTCTGTCGACACTCATCTGCTGCCGAGTCTTTTCGACCTTGATTTTCGGGGCGCAGGCAACGAGAGATTTCACGTTCATCACGTAATCATCCAAGACGATCTGTGAATGAGAAGGCTCTAACAATGGTCTCCGAACCCAGTCATGATCAGGGGTCGTCCTTCCATCCGATGTGCGGTTCGAATCCTCGGGAGCCCGAGAGCTGCCTCATTCCCCTCGATCCACTAACTCACCCGGGTCATTTCGGACATCTGCTCCAAGAGTTGACTCTTCTTATCGCCGACGAGATAATTGTGAGCCATCGCATGTTCTTCGCAGATTTCGCATTGCCTGATCAGCACGTCCCGCAGACGCCTCGCAGTCCACGGCAAGTATTCTCCGCTCTCAAGCAGGCCGGCTTCCGATTCGAGAAACTGCTCCCTCAACTAAAGAATATCGAAGAATATCCTCAATCGTTAGGCGTGCCGCCAGAGGGTCGCACCTGCAACTTGCAGATTTCTTTCATCGAAGCTTCCCAGAGACCAAGATCGAATCCTCACCGATTTGATATTCTCCAATGCTCCCACGAACAACGTGTTCGTAAGGAGGATCTTCTCGAGGAGAAACTCGTCTTCCTGCTCGATGAGCTCTTCTAGGTAACTGGAAAGTGGAGATCATATTGGCCTCGCGATCGCGATCCTCGAGCATGGTCTCAATGATCAATCCGGTATCGATTTTCCGATCTTCCGGAGGGAGGACTCCGAATAACTGTGTACTCCGGCATGGGCTCTGCCTGGGACTCACTTCTGGGTTTCTACGAGCAGATCAGAGATATCATAGACTCGCACGAAGCACAAATCTCGGCTGGTTATGCTCTTCTTCGGCGGTTTTTCCCCTCTTTTCTTCACGACGCGTTTCATGGCGACGTCGAGCATACTCTGTGTAGGCCGAAGACCCTGAGAACGCGAATGATTTTTCTTTGAAGTGGAGCTCATCACCAGATGACCGTCCCATCAAATTCAGTAGACTAACATGGTACGTAAAACATCGGAATCGACAGATGGAGCAAGTCTGGAATACTCAACAGTTCCTCACCTCGTAGGTACTATCGAGTCCCTCGGCCATCGAGAGTAATTCTCTGTGTTCCTGCAGGACGAGACGTGTCTGGGTCTCAACATTGTCCACCGTCACGAACGTGAACTTCTTCCAGATACCGTAAACCTATAAAAAATTGTAAATGAACCGTAATCCATGTTCGAAAGACAGGAGTCGAATTATGATCATCTCACAGCTTTGTATCGGGCATCCCCGCTGGGCTGCTCAGCTCGTGCCTATCTGGCATCTATGAGCGGACATAAGCATCTTGGTACGGCAGACAACACCGTCGAAGACTTTACCTTCAGAAACTGCATCATGACGTCGAGTGTCTTGATCTTATCGGCGATATGATTCTCGATGAGAACGGAAGTTCCCTTCGGTGTCTTTTTACCCCATCGAGGATCGCCGGCCGGTATATCATTGAGTAATGCTTTGGAGAGATCCACAAAAACTTGGTCCATTCCCTCAACTTGAGGGCTCTCGGCCAAAGCAGGGAAAACCTGGAGAGCAATACATTAGCTTAGGCAATTTCTGAGGGGAGGGGGGCGTAGTCCCCACTGGGGATTCGACAGAATCGATGCGCTCACTCACCTGGTCCAACAAGTTTTGACTCTGAACGATCTCTCCCCTGGTATGGTGCAGGAGTGCCCGTCTCAGTAGTGCTTCAGCATTACTGACAGGTGCGTCGTCTTTGTCGATGAATGATTCGGCGATTCTGGCGCTCTCCTCCGGTAGGAGAGGCTCAACGAGTTGCCTAGAGACCACGGGGACGAACTCGTTAGGAATCGATTCCGTCATCCCTATCGGTCAGAAGATTTGCACGTACTGACCTGCCAGTTGTTTTCAAAATGACCAGATGATTGAGCTGGGTCAGAAGGAGGGGTTGACCGTCTTTGGAACCGCATCCGAGAATGGCATCGTTGAGAGGGAGTCTCAGCACGTCTTGCTCACCTTCGATCAGATTTACGCAAACGATCTTGTGGCGAGTATAAACGAACACCTGTATGAATAAACAGGGTATAATCGTTCTGGAAACGCTTCCCCCTTCTGGGGATTGATTTGAGGGGAATTTGAATCTACTCCGACTCTCCGTCGAACAGGGAATCGTACCTCTCGTCCGTGGGGCAGGAGACACCGCGCCGCTAGCAAGAAGTCCAAGTTGCTCCGGGTGCACTCCTCCACTTCAGAGAGAGGAGTGAAGTATTTAAGCTCATCCGGAGCATGCAAGTCGATGATCGCGAGAGCGTAGTGCAGCCTTTGAGGAAGATTTTCGTTCACGGCTGCCATCAAGACCAGGACGCCCTCGACACAAATCTAAGAGAGGATCGAGGTTGTATTTGAGACCGAGACATCGAGACACACATGGGTACACAGCTGACTCCTCGGAATTCCTCGTCATCTTCCTGTTTAGATTACCTGCGCGTCTATACACCATGTGCTTATGTCCGCTTCACCGACTGATTCGTTTCCCCAGACCTTCGTCCTGAATGAGGTGCGAACCATTCCCTCTAGGTCGATGTCGTACCTACATCGGGCAAGCGTTGCGGAGAATGAAAGAAGCTCGGGATATGGGATCGAGTCATATATGACTTATAGGGATGGATTGCCGTCCGTGAGGCGACAGAAAAGTTACCTGGGTGTTTCCTGACCGTCTTCCCATCCAGTCCAACTTTGAAGAGCTTTCTCGAAGAGGATGAGCACTTCATCGCCACCTCTGCATAGAAGCCTCCGAGCGTCACGATGGTTGATATCTCCTGCTATCGGCATGGCGCCAAACAACAGCGAGCTCATTTTCTTCCCGATTTCAGAGAATACGCCGTGCTGGATCCGGACCTTGGGAGAAAATTTTGTTTTGATTCGGGTGATCTGCTTTTCTCGTCACAATCGGAGCTGGATACTTCTTCAAGTCGCCAGTCTTACCTTGCGCGTGTCCAGAGTGACGTTGCCTTGGTATCCGAGAACGGCAACTTTGATCAGACTGCCGGTGGTGGTCGCCACAACGAAAAAGTCGTCCCCCAAGTGGCAGAGCTGGAAGCATTCCTCGCCCCCCATGTCGACACTGGTCTCGGTGTAAGCAGATTCATGAGAGATGTTCGGCCAGTATCTGAAAAGGAGTCGCTTGTATCACTCACCGCATACGCGCTCAATGATCCTCCATGAGAGACTCGCGTTCGGGACTCACCTGATAACGCCAACCGGGGACACAACCATACAGCTCGGCGACGGTCCACCTTCGCCGATATAGCAAAGATTTGCCTGATGGAGAAGGATAGAGTTCGGCAGCTCGAGTGAAAAACATGTCTTGGATGAAATCTGCTTGGTATGCTGGAAGACGAGCAGACGGGACTTCACCACCAACCACGCCCATGAATTCGAGAGGATCACGGACGTTGATTGAGGGCTCTCGATTGTCAGCAATGACTCCACGATATGAACTGGTAAAGCCGTTGGCGAGGGCTCGAGAATGTGGTTCGGGGTTTCGCCCAAAATCGAGGTTTGCATTGACATATTCAGAGAGGCGCCTGAAACCGAGTTGGAGGATGTCCGTTTTGTTAAATAATTTATGCGCGCTAGAAAATCGTGATTTTGCGATCTTTTGCATGGGGGCGACTGCGCTCAGCATCGAATGTTTCGGGAAGAGCTTCAGCACAGGATACTCACTCAGGATCGATGTGTTCACCGTTCCGGCATACGGCGATTTATAGAAAGCCGAACGACGTACACGTTGAGGTGTCCTCGGTGATCCGAACATCTTTGCTAGTGTTTCTGGAAAAGGGTATTCGAAAATCTCACACGGGGCGCTATCATGAAGTGAACTCAGTCCGAGTAAATCTTTGCAGGTCACGTCCCGGCACCCGAGCTTCGATAGGAGGATTTGATCTCAGGGGAAAACTATACTCACATGAGGCGTATGAGTCTGTGAGCTGTCAACCGTCTAATACTCGAAGAAATTTTTGCTCAACACACCGGCGACCCACTGGCAGGCGCGCTCTATTCCGCTTCTGATTGTGATTTCTGTCGAGGCAAACAGAACCGGAGGGCGCTCTCGCCCTCTTCTGTCCCCCCCACGACTTTTCTGAATTGATAATGATTGCGGATCTTAAAAGGAACTCTAATGATAATTGCCCGCAGAAATGTATTCAGGCAAGACTGAGCAGTCGGAATGCTCCCATGATCATAGGCGCTCGCTTAGAGAGGGTCGAAAAAGTTCATGGAGGGGGATCGCGCCTTTTTTTTGAGGGTTTGGTCCGCGATCTCTCGGTGTAACTAATCTTCAACCTCTTCTCCACAGCTTCCGCCATGCTTATGGGTGACGGGATCCGAACCCTTTGGAGAAATGTGACCATTCTGGTTCAGACCATGAGAAAAATTTGATTCACAGTATGCGGATGGCTCTCAATCGATTCCCCAGATCGTCGCTCGGAGAGACTTCCTCCATTTTCGCGTACGTTCTCGAGTAAGTCGTCATCATTGACGCAACATTCCTCCATATGAGCGAGTATGGTTGTAGTCCCTGATCTCCTTATTCTCATATAACGCCCGTTCCCGTATGATGAATGTCACTCTCCTCGACATTAGGAGCGCATTTATTGGTAACCCTATCCTATTCTGTGAGTAGGCTTCTGTCACGTTTCCTCGCTCCGGAGGGAAATCAGTAGAATCCCGACGATTCGCGCCCTCGATAATTCGTGAAATCAAAAATTCGCTACAAGCGGAGATTCTCCAGCGGAAAGCCTCGGAAACGTCGCTACCCTTGATGAAGATCTTATTCCATTCGACTCGCCTATGAGTACCAGGCGTAAGTACCCCATAAATCGCGAAATATCGATGATTCGCAACTCGCGGCGAAAATTCGTACCTAGTTTGCGGCCGCGTGAAGGAAATTAGCTCGTTTTTCGGTACATTCAAAGCTCTTGCTTGCTTCGCTCACTATCGGAACGAAACAAACATGTCTATTGAGTCTCAGCGAACACAGATATTTGTTCGGTACTTCGATTCGCCCTTTAGATCGCGCCCACCCTGATAGAGTCTCCCGGTGTCGTACTCCCATTACCCTCTGAGCATAGCATGAATATGTCAGAAAAGTGATCATCGGATTTTCATATCATTTGAGTTGAATTTGCCGACTTGACGTAAACTAAATGTGAAGTTATTGCCGTACAATGGAATTTCGAAAGTTTTGCACCCCAGGAGAATCCATCCCGATAGTTCGCAATTCGCGCCTTCCCCTAAATGTTGCCTCCCGAAAAACGCGAATTACCGGGAATGCACTGTAGTCGAAGAAAACTCGGAGGTTTCGGCGATCGGGCGGCTCGGAACAGAGATCCTTCATTCGCTTTTCCCTGAAGAGCCCGAATTCGTTTCCTCCAGGGACAAGGCTGCTCCCTGCGACCGGGAACCCCCCTGATTGATCCATCTGAGAGTTCACGGTCCTGGGTCTTGGTCCATGGGCCTATGCATGAAATTGAATGCATTTTTTCTCCCGCTTCCCATTGGGCAAATCCGTATCTGGGCGCTAGAGCTAAGCCATCTGCTGAATGAACGCAATTCCAGCGGACCTGTGGAGAAATCGCTCTTGAGAGAGGGTCACATGACATTTTCTGTAGATAAATCCTGAAAGGATCCATGAATATCTCCACCAACGCCATGGTCTCTGAGGAAAGGCCGCAAACAATCGGTGGGAGGAAAACACCGAGGACAGGGTTAGCGACCTCGAGAACCCGTTGCTGGGGGCTGAGTTCGCTCCGGGGTCTAAACTTGATAATGTCGGAATCTCCCCGGCAAGAAGATGCAGGACGAGCAAAGCCCATCGCGCGAGCTCGTCCGCGACGCTACCGCAGTACAAACGAAGCAGGAACCTCAGCTATTATTCCACTGAGAGACGCTCAAAGCTCACGGTCGGGCTTGGATCCGGAGACCGAAACTTCCTAAAACATTCACGAACGATAGGGGAGACGGAAGCAGTGCCAGAAAACCCAGGGTCCGGCAGGCGGTCAAGACGCTGATGAGCCTGGGGACGTGACGAGACATGAGGGCTGTAACCCGCGGTCACGATCACTCTCGGGACTGCTCATTATGGATTATTCCTCGTACAATCAACAAGCAACCTATGAGTAGGCAGGATATCAGATCACGAAACCGACTTATACTCGTTCCGTCACTATAAGCCTGAGATAAAAGGGAGCATCTGAGGCAAGAAAAGACTTTCCCGACTTCCCGGCTAATACAGTTTCTCGAATGATTAGATCCACATATCATGCCTCACTACAAGGCACCGCGCTAGAGCTTCTTTGGTGTACGGTCATGCCTCGTCACAGCGGAGCCGGAGGAATCCGTGTAAGGCAGCGATTCTGAAGCTCTTTTCTCCTACGTTTCCCTTCTGCCTCTTAGGAAGCGCTCGCGTTCCCCCGAGGGTCATCGAATATCTGAGAATATAGAGTTTCGACCACAGTGCCGTTTTATCCGTACAAACGGCTTCATCCTTTAATTGTACAATGATTATAAGCTCGGAGTACAGTAGCAATGAGCTTGGTAAGCTTTCTGAAACTTGAAATCAGGTCGGTCGGGAATTCCCGGAACCCTGAGCGTCTCCCCTAGATTTCTCCCGCGTCTCCCCCAGGAGACGCGTCCCCCTAATTGAGAAACGTTGGTGTAAGGAATTTTTTACTAGGTGTAAGAAATCTGCGGTGCCCTCTTGACTAGAGTCTCGAAGCGTCAAAGCATTTTTATGACGAAATTTCAGTACGGCGAGCGAAATTGCGATTCCAAGCGCTTTGTCGTGACGGGGCTCCAGCGCATGTCCTCCGGTATGCTTGGAATCTTTTTCTCGCGCAGATTCGATCAAGATCTCCTACGTAGGATGCGGCAGCAATGAATGATTCTCGAACTTCTTGAGTCCGCAAATCGACCATTACCGGGGTATCGCCGTTGCTCGCGACACGCTCGGTCCAGGATGACTCTCCGTGAGTCACGTTGCGCCTTGGAGCCTTTCCCCGAATCGACTTCATTTTCTTGACTCCACTCATTTCTTCGAGCTGAGTAAGTCCGTCTGATCGGATTCGGATGGCTCTCACAGTCCATGCTGGTCGTCGATTCTTCCGATAACAGACGAGGATTACCGTCCATCCGTCCGACGAGGAGAGCCTACCTCGAAGGAATAAATTGCCAGGTATCGGCATTTTCCAGAGGCATCAGATTTCCGACAAGAATGCTTGAACCCTTTGCGAGGTATTTCTCGACGGTGGGAATCGGGAGGCACCCGCAGCGGAGCCTTTCCGTCAGGAAATTTCGCCGCTCACGGATCATCCCTCAGCGGTGAGTCCCCAGGACCAGAGCTGTGCGCCATGGGATTTTCGTCGGCGGCGGGCTGGAAAACGGGCGGCGGCGGCGGGCGCCGCGGCGATTTTCGACGGACCGATGAGCCCATGGCGCGCCGCGGGATAGGTGGAACGCACGTTCGAAAGTCTCCTCATTTGTCGGGGATGAAATACTATTGGACACGTGCGATCTTCCGATGAATTCAAGTTTAATTGGTCAGTCAGGGCTCTCAACGACCACGGAGCTTCGGTCCGAAACATCCCGTCTCATTCGAATGCTATGTCCCCGCATTCTCGTGCGAGCTCAGTACCTCGAACCGAGTTTCCAATTTTTTTTCCCGTGGTTTTCTGTTACTTTTCATGAGGATTGGGCACGGCGCGCCGGCGTTCCGTCACGCCGTCGGACGCCGTGCTCGGGTTCCGGCGGCGGCGGCGGACTCCAGAGGTCGGCGGCGGCGATCGCCGGCGAATTCGTGACGCGGCGCACAGCTCTGCCCAGGACCGCAGAGGAATTCAGGCCGCTTGATTGGTTATTGGCATGATATTCCCATGAAGGCACTGAGCATCGAATACGCTCACCCAGAGGCGGCGCCAGCGGGAAGCTTCAGAAGCTATAGCTTCCCAACCCTCTGGAATCGGGAAGCTCAGGATTTCTCCCAGAAATTTTCTGTCCATACATTCCAACGGTTTCGGAATACAGTGCGACCTCAAGCTTGAGTCCCCTCAACTTGAGTCCACTTTGTCACCTATTTGTGTCTGATCCATGAAGACCTCGATTCCAAGACCAGGCCGCGTCTCGATCGGTAAATGGATCTTCATGAAGAGTACTCCGATAACCAATCATACTTGAGTCCGCTAAGCCTCTGACTCAAGAGCTTTATCCGACAGTTTCCGTGAAATAGAGTGGCTTCCCACGCCTTGGCGTTCTACAAGCCAACACGAAAGAGTCATCCCCACGGAAATATTGGAGAAATCCTCTTCCGAACAACTGGGGGAACCTATCCTCAACTTGAGTCGTTCCTCGACTTGAGTCCCAACGTAAGGCACCAATCATTGACTCAAGTTGAGGTCGCGCTGTATTCACACTGCCGCTGTCGATGAATCCGTGTTGAATTTCTCGAGCAAACGAAAGAGGGTGATTGGCGCACAAGTGCTCAGAAACACCACTTGCGTGCACCCGGATTGGAGGATTCCTCTCCCATGATAGGGAATATTCCAGCGTATAGCTGTCATCAACATCTGAGCCAGCCGAGAGCTTCCAAATCCTTCGATTCCTAAATTACCCTAGTGGTATGACCGTCAGGCTCTCATGAAAAAGAAAGTCTCTGCTGTATAAAATTTATAAATATGTATTTTTGCATGCGTCTATGCAGAACAAATACTTTTGAGTGTACGAATGACTATACCATCATAGAAAAAAATCTTTGAGCCACCGAGCGCTCTGACTTCCTGATTCGGAGGGGATGTGGTATCCGGAAAATTCGAGTTTCCCCAATTCGAGCTTTCTCATCGCCAGGACACTCAGCGAAAAAGATCATGACGCTCGAGTGCATTGTAGTAACACCGTGTCGTGACTTTCTCAGTAGAAGGTAATATCTGCGTAACCATACGAGCTCCTAGAGGATGAAACCCTCGCGGGCTTACGGAGGGAGTGCTGGCTCGTCGCAAGTGGAGGAGCATTTGACCCCGTGATTCATCAATATCCAGAGGAAAGACACCGTATTCGTCCCGCTGTCGGAGCTCGAACACGCTCCTCCACTGCGAGAATCCGCGGAAGCCATGGAGAGTTGAGAGCCGGCTCTCTTCGGGGCATTGACCGCTTCCCGTTGCGCGAGATGTTTACGCTTTTCGATTCAAGATCAATGGTTGTTGTGCATTTGCATCCAATCCGCTCCCAGAAGATGATGACCACTCGACGTATAGAGGCGATTCTCTCGCAAGCTTTGAAAAAAGGCGGTTCCATCGCACGAGCAGGCAAAGCTCCCAATTACGGCTTCCAATCAATCGCTTACGCGTGCAGCAATCAACGGGGATTCCGAGCCGAAATTTGCATCTTCTCTTTTGCGCTGCTCCTCGTGAGCGACCGAGGAGTAAAACAAGGTACCGTGGGGTGTATGATGGAGTCGTTCCATAATAACGAAGTAGTGTAGCCATGTTCGGGCGAAAATCTCGTTTTTTTCCGTACGTCTCAAGACTATGGAAAATGGTCGAATCGCCTCCCGGCCAGCGAGCGAGCTCCTCCCCAGTCTCGCGAATGACGGGATGGCGAGTATGAAAAGCACCCGAACTCGGCATCAGATCGGTATCTCTTCGGATTATCGCATTTTCCAACATATATTTGCAGATAATCAGCTCCTTATGGAGGGGGTGTATACCCGAGAAAATCTGCATTTGCTTGCAGAGCAGACCTCATCTTCAATTCAAGACCAAGAGACGTCGCCTCCGGAAGTCTCTGGGCAAGCGCCGCGCCGCCCCTAGGGGCCTCCGAGAAAACCGCCATTGGTGACTCCTGGGCAGCGCGATGGCGAGATTTCTCCTGATTTGGTATGGAATTCGTCAGGTCCGAAAACTTGTAAATTCAAAAGGATACCTCAGCATCTTGGTAGCTTTGGAATAGGCATTATTCAAAACTCTCGCAGCTCCTATGAAGGCAGAATACACCTCGCTCCACCATCCTTTGGTATCTCCCCAGGAGCGAGGACCCGCTCGGTACGTCTTCGACAATACATGCATTCATATGCGAGATCGCGTAGCTCCCAGCCGTTCCCATGACTCTATCCAAAAAGCTCCACTGCTGACGCCTGATTGGGAGCCTCCGGATGATTGACGGATCAGAGAGACGGTCGATTGAAAATCGTCATCGCCCATATCCAGTCCAACCTTTTCAGTAATTGAGCTCATGAGGGTACAACTACATAGGTGTTGAAGCCGTTAGAGAGAGCAAGGAGAATCCTTGTCGCTGATTCCGATCCGAGTTTGAACAGGAGACGAGTGAAGTCCAGCTGCGAATGAGAGACTCCCAACTCAGCTCATCCGCTCCTGTGGGCACCTGGTGATGGAGCTGCGACGGAATTCGCCTTTTGAAGATGGATGATTATATGGCGAATGATTTCACCGCACAACGCTTCATAAATTCATACGGTGGGCCTGAGTATCTAATTTGATCGTTTCCACGGTTATCGACGTCGATTATTCATCGGGAAGAGTCTGATGGAAAATCGGAATCGTCCAAGCCCTACTAATAAGGGATCTACTCCGAAGCAATTCGCACCCTCTCTCGAAGTTTGATTGATCCATCGGAGAGTCTTCCGAGTTTCGCTCTCTCGTCGCGAAAGCCCCGTCTTGCGATGATTCCAGGCTCTCGCGCTTGGAGCTTATCCAATGAATCTCCGAAAGGACGAGCTGGCCCCCCAATCATCGCATCAGCTGTTGAGTAGTGGCGGAGGTGCCACCGCCTTCGGTTGGCCAATACTCAGCAACTCCCACAACAGCTTTCTCTTTCCCCCCTGCCGAACCCCAGTTCGCCTCCCCATCCATTCCTCTCCCCTGCTCGCCACCTTATTGTACAGAGCGGAACCATACACACCCTATTCTCTATCCAACAATTCCCTCTGCTTGCTGCCGTCGACCGATCGATGCGGGCGGAGCTCTCGAGGGCGGGTCCAAGGAGTTTCGAAGAGGGTTCTGCAACTCGTTCGCTTTCACCGTACAATCAGTTGTGGGGTTCCTGAACCCGACGCCTTCCGAATGTTCCAACGAACAAATGATACACTAGGGGGTGTAATTATTTCGCAGCTCCATCTGTTCCACTCTCGTCTATTGAAACGTTGCTGACAAGCAGGCTTGATCTACTCGAGCTCACTTTGCACTTACCCGTGAAATTCCGATTGGAGTGCTGGCAAAGCTCCGGCATGTCGCTCCGCGAGATCGTACACGCTGAATTCTGCTGAGTCGTCTCCCGGGAAGAGAGTGAGCATCGGATCGAAATCGAGTGCCCATTCGTATCGATGCATCGAGGATGATTTCTCCATGATTCGATGCTCGACTTTCGGACTCCGTGAAACAACATATTTCGTCTCAACGTAGTAGTTCTCCGGGGCTCTCCGCAAAGTTCAAAAACGGGATGCACGAATCCGAAGAGAGCTGCTCGAGTCTCGTTCAAAACCAACCATTCGGTTCAATCATCGTCCTCACTCATGCGATCGGGCCGTAGCTCCGCAATCATACTATCCCCGAGGGATTCATGAACGCGTGAGCGAGGACTCGGCGACGGGGCCATTTTGTTCTCCATGCAAATTTGTTCATCGCTCTCCGTTCAGAAGAGGGATTTCCTTTTTGATCCAACTTATGCGCCTTGATAGCATCGGTGAATTTTGGATGTCGTCAAATCCTATGTTGAGTGACTGACATGTCAGAAAAGCGAGGAATGAGCTCTGCTCCGGGTCATAGGACGACGGACGTGAAATTCCTCGCGAAGATTCATGGGTTTCTTTTCCGGATATATCACCAAAATCCCGAAGGAATTCTCCGCGACTGAAATCGCTGGCATTAATGTCTGTCACTTGAGCAAACGCCATTTGTCCCATTCATCCGTTCGCAATGTCGCAGTCGATTGGTGATATATCATTCAATTCGCTCTGCATGGATGGCGATTTGTGCAGTTGAGCTAACATGAATATTCAAATCGTTTCAGCAGAGCGGATCGCCAATAATTGTATGCTTCCGAAAGGCTCTGGTTTGGAATCCCATGCGACCCTCGCGCGAATAGACTCAGTCAGCCGGAATTCCGCGAAGGTTTGGATGGATGCGAAGCGTGAGGACTAGACTTGCATAGACACCCTTCTGAGGAGGCTTCTACTCAGGAATCTCAGCCTAGAATTCCGAATTATCGACAGCTGGATGTACCGAAGAAGTCGGACGATCCATCGACCCCCATCAGCTCTATCCATTCAAGGAACAAAAGAATGTTGCTCATCCACTCTCGGCTATATAATAGTAATTTTGTACAATAAATGAGGAGATTCCGAGAAGAGTCGAAGACCAGGGACTGTAACATTGCAAAATTTATCGTTTTTATTTTCATACACGTTTATTCATACGCTTGTGTTCCTTGACGCTCAAAGTTTTCCTTCTCCACAATCGCTCGATTCGCAGCTGTTCCCTACTGGAGAATCCGTTCACCGTCCGTCGTCCATATCGTCGTGGACAAGTTCACCGTCAGGTCCGACAGTTGAGTGATTATAGAGTCCTGGAAGCAGAATTTCGGACGCCTTAGTGAAGGGTTATCGATCGGAATCGGGACCGTAGAGATGGAGTTCCCGATATTCAGATCTTTGCGTAGGCCAGAAGATAAATTATTCGCTAATTAAAAATACGCAGCAATGGATGATGTTTCTATCTGATCCGCTTCTCTCTGCGATTGAACGTGACTCGCTAAAAGGAACATCGGAGTTGAGAGACGATTCCTCATCGCCGAGATAAAAGAAAAGTATGCGTCGCCCTCATCTGACCGGGCTCCGAAGCTGTCTCCACAGAATCTTTTTCCGGTCGTGGCTTGCACGTCATAGGACCAGGTCTGTCGGCCAGACAACTTGTCTCTTTGTGCGGGCCGCGACTTTTCGACAAAAACGTTGAACGTCGAATGGCGTGACGATAAGAAGCAAGAGCCACTATTTCGTCAATCAGTACCGAATACTCATGAGGTCGCGTAGTCCCGTTCTTATACCCCGCCGGGTGCAGAAGCGGCGGAGCCTAGATACATTGTATGTACCTATCAGATTCCCAGAATCGTATAGGGCGAGCTCTATCATGGGGTTCCAACTACCTAAATCAGAACACTCAAACCGATACCCGATTAAGGAACATAATGATAGACCCCAAATATTTTTTTCGCTCCAGGTTGCTTCCGATTATTCCAGGCGAGCGCATCGCTCTCAAAGGTTCCCAAAACCTGTGATGCGTGCCACGAATAAGGTTCTCCCAAAATTTCGGTCCGCGGAAGTCTCCCCGATCCTCAGATTCTTCGAGCCTGCTATCATCAGTCGATCATTTTGTGCATACCTACATGCGCGCTTTCTGAACGATTACTGCTCGAATTCGAGAAACAATCTCAGCTCTCATTCTACCTTGCATCTTCATATGGGTTATAAGTTGCGTGAGATATCATGAGTGGTTGTCGAATTGATTTCGGGTTCTTTGTGTAACATCTCTCCTTCATTTTTGCGCGGCTTAAACCAAAGGAGAGTTTGTATTAGTGAAGGATTGGCACGGTTGCTCGAATGGAAGTTTTTCGGAAGTCACAACGATCTCCTCTATGCACTAGAGCCGCATTGGTTCTTTCAACTTTCGTCTCGATCTTTCCCGTTGGCAGATTCGAGGTGGAATGTCTGGTCTTATGCGCCCGCATCTCGATCACGTGCGACAAGCAATAAGAGGTGATCATGTAAGTCGCACGGAGTCTCCTCCTTGACACACAACTCCCATAACTTCGCCCCTCGGAACCGACAAATTTCCCTCTTGGGGTTCGGCTGCAATCTACTAATAGCGATAGTCTATTCCAATGAAGGAGCGCGCTCCGGTGAGCCCACATGTGACTTCATCATAATTGAATGCAATCGTGAGGGGATGGTCCAGACCGCGGGCAGGATCAGCGAGATCCAGTGTGTTCAATATTGACACGAGATCTCCATTCGAGGATCTTGGTCTCCGCTATCTAAGTATAGCCCAGGCTGACTTCATAGCCGGCTCACCTTGTGCCATAAGCTCGAGGGCCAGAGGGTTCGGCCTTCCAGTGGATTTCTTCAGTTTGGCTCGCTTATTTTGGAACCAGATTTTTATCTGAGACTCGTTGAGCCCGAGCTCAGATGCGAGATCCTGACGACGTTTTTCGGTAAGGTATCTGAAAAGGAGCGATTCGTCAATACAAGTACTCATTACGTGATAGAAGCCTCGTGGACCGGGGCGAATGGGACAGCTGAATTCCTCGTCGCCCGCACGGGAGAGCTCTGGGAGTGCCCGCGGTGAGAATATAGTCGCGACAGAGGTTCGAGGGCCTGTGGATTCCCAGAGCGCCCGATCAGCATCTCTGAGCGAGAGAGGCGAGCTCGGTTCGCATTACAATGATCCACAAAAGGGCAGACCAACGATCGCGAAAATAAGTGGATTGGTGAGCATCAGCAGGGTCCACGATTCGCTTGCTCAAATATTAATGAAATTCCACAGCCACGATTGACAGCGAACGATTGTTCGAGAAGATCATCAAAACGCAATGCCGTGCATAGCTAGATGGTCTGCTGGAGACGCCACATCTCTCTCGACGAAAACAACAGCAACTTCCTCGGGAATCCTCGCGGAGGCCATGGCATAATGAGTTGGACTCGGCAATAACTTCGACATATCGAAAATATCGTATAGTCAGACTTGTTCCGAACATTAAAATGAAATATTGCCGAGGGATTCATCGGGGAAGTGAGCTCGATCCTCGACTGTCGACTTCGCCCGTCCTCATTATTGATGGACGCTTGACGATTTATGTAGCAATGTTTGAATGCTTTTTCAATATTCAATGATTGCAATGATCCGACCACTTCGCGATGAACCTATTATTGACCGATGGTAAGGCGATAGCAATACACGCGACATCTGTTCATTTATCGCTTCGAGTTCATTCAATTTGTTCAGGATCCGGATGTTCATGCTTCGATATGGGGTTGCTTGGCTTGACTTCGATTCGGTCCGATTCGGTGCAAATCTATTCCAGTACCCGGATCTACCTTGTTTTTGAGTGCTCGATATTATCTCTACTTCAAGAATTCCACCGTCGACCACGAACAGGAAGAAAGCGCTTACTTATTCTCCTGGAACTCTTTCTTGAGACGTTGGAGTTGGTCCGCAGTGAATGCCGTTCGCGGCCTCTTCTCATCGGACTTCTCCTTGCGTTTCGTCCTTTTCGATCGGGGTCCTGGAACGGAAAATTTGTCATGAAGTGGGTTATCAGTTATCACTTATTGGAGTGAATTTTATTTCTTAAAGAACTCCGTGATTCCCGCAAGATCACATAAATGTGCGCATCTCACGGGGATCACTCTCTCAGGCACAGCGTCAAGACTTATATGAAAGTACCAGAGGTCCCGGTGGAATGGGAGATTCTCCTGGCGTTGCCCTCACAGAGAATCTCATCTGGCCTTCAGGCGACACCTTGTTAAGTCTCGAGCCCGGATTCCGCCATTTGATTGTTTACGGCTAGCTACGATGACTCTGTTTTTGGTTGAGCAAGAATAGACAGCGGTCGCTCCTTCCCCATTGCGCTCGGTTCTCCCCAATCTCAGCTCCTTTTCTTTGCTTTTCTGCTCCGAGTAAATAAATTACGGTACGGCCGAAGCGGCGAAGAAGGAGAAGAGAGAGGAGCGGCCAAACGAAAATGGGGATAATAATTTCTCGCTCGTGGAGATAGATGAAGCTCCTCATGAGCAAGGCGTCAGCAACGGCTGTGGACGATGCTTTCACAGATTGGAACGCGGACGCGACCAGAACTATGCAACTTCTCGTTATCTTCGACTTCGTCATTAAAATCTCTTCGTCAGTACGTCTTGTGCTCGGAGACGCGGGCTAGAGCGAATGAGCTCAGACATAGCTGTGAAGCCGAGAAGAATCTCGAGAATGACGATTCCCACTCGAAGACACAGCCCACGCCATGCAATCAGTTTGTCTTCCCAACGAGGAGAAGTGAAAAAAACGATAAAGGTCAAGTATCTGTGCAGTTTGTAAACATCATTTTTTTGTAATTTATCGGCCTGAAACACGAACACGGAGGCTTACGGCGGTGGCGAGGCGTTCGATTGGGGACCCGGAACGATGTGGTCGCAAACTCTCAGCCACTGGATCGTGTAACAACGTTTGAGGCAAGCGATAATGATTGGGAGCGGATGAAAACTACGAGATGAAGAAGAAATTTCGCACAAGACACACTGCGGCAATAATAATGATGCTGACGCTCTCTTTAATGGTAATCGTCATTAGGGCAGAAGTCGTGACGCGTGTGTGTACAATATGTGACCGCTATCGTCAATCAGCGTACACCTTCAACTGAACATTCGTCCATCCAACGCTCCATTCCGGCCGGGTCCGCCGTCAATGTATTCACGTTTATGGAATCGCAAATAGTCCTTCGGCGCAATCACGTTTTTTGAATTACACTCAATTGCCGTAGCCGGCACCACCACGTTCCTTAGCTTAACACGGCAAATAATCGCAGTGTATCCCGCGCACCTCTGAGCACGTATCAATGATTGAATAATTCACAGATCTTCACCACATCCTTCATCTTTGCTGCTTCTGTTTATTTTATGGTGGTGCTTCTGGTCCGACGAGCGTTTTCTTCTCGGAAGTGCGTCTACCTCTATCAGGAAATATTGGATTTTCATTCGTTTCAACTGCACTTCGTCCTGTCGCTCGCGACGACGACGGCGGAGCAGACTACGAAGTCGCTTCCAAACACGTATTCATTTGATTTACATCGCGGCTCATGGCGCGCGACGGAAAATCATCCCGATGATATCCAGAGAGAACTCACGCACAATGACAGGGAGAACGTGATGATACTAATACTGACGAGTAGAATAGAGTGAAATGATCATAATCAAGGAGAAATCTGCCGCGGAGCATGCAATGACCATCATGGCCGGAGCATAATCAGCCGACTATGGTGGCCGGTGGACCTTAAGGAAATCTCCGGATCTCCGGTCTGCCATACCATCAGCGAAAGCATCGGCCCCCAGCTCGAATGATCGAATTGTCGTTGTTGGGGCCGCTGCCGCTATCTATTCCCCTTCGAAATCTCTCTTCTCTTTCGTTAATCGGATATCTTCGTGAAGAGCTAACGTCCGTCGACGTCAGCACGGCAGAAGCACCAGAAGGAGCGGGACCGAAGAACTACACGCGGTAGGAGCGGAGAAGATAGAAAGAGAATAATAATCGGCCATCTTGGGTGCGACAGAAGATCACCGTGTGTGGTCTTGATGGCTCTATGGGGCGTCTGTCTGCGTGCAGGGTGACGTTGTCGCCCTCCTTCTTGTTGCTGGTGCCGTTCCTTTTCTTGGTGCTGGGGTAGTCGTTGACGTCGATCGCTGTTCTCGGCGTCGTCGATGTCGTCGTCGTAAAGACGGCACCCCTTGCTGATGACTTTGCGCAAGACTTCAAATGTAGATCGTCGCTACAGAGCCCACCCAAGACGTATAAAAAAGGCTGCGAAAGGAATGTGGCCACTTGGGAGAGCCTTGTTCCCGGAGGGTGCTCGAATTGAGTTATGATTGAATAATTATTCGATCGCTTGATCGATTGATTGACCCATCTTTCGAGTAATCCGCAAAACGATCACAGGAGATCAGTTTTCCGTTCTGACCATTCAGCTGCGATTATTCCCTCTCAATTCTGCCCACCTCGAAATGGCCAGGGTTCTGAGGTGTGGGAAGTTGCACCGACAGGAACGCGAAGTGCCATCGAATGTGACGCATACGTTCACCGTGAGTGGATCCGGATGATTGTGAGGTGGATTGCCTCGCAGTCGCAGCGTGCCCTATGATGCACGAATCTCAATCGAACGAAGCTCGACACCCGCCTTCGAATGCGGAGCTCAGCAGTGGCCAGTGAAGCCCCGTTAGTCTCCATGCCAACATGAGTTCCTTCCTTCGTTGGTTGGTTGGCTATGTGGCTGGTTCGCTCGCTCGCTGCTCGTTCGTTCAATCGGTCCGTCGTTCGACCGACTGGATCGGTGGTCGGGTAGGCCTCCGCACCAAAGCGCGAGGCACCACCCAACGCTGCCGTCGCCGATGGCGAAGTGCTCACGCAGCCCATTATTAAGGCTATGCGAGATCGTGGGGAGGAAGTCTGGTCGTCTGTTCGTCCGTCAGTCAGTCGAACTATGTATCCCCTCGTACGGCTCTCTGCCGGTCGGTAAGCAAAAAAAAAGGGGCGAACGGTGGGGATGGTTCTCGAGCGATGAGGAGGGGGTGAGATGCACCCTGTGAAGTTGGAGGAACTCTAGTCCAACAACAGCAACACCGGCGCTTGGGGAAGCAAGCGAGAAATTTGCCGAAATCGGAACGAGCTCGACTGCGTGGGAACTGAGGCTGCTGCTCTGGACGCGAGTACGATATCGGTCGCTAGTCCCGTGCTCACCTGCTCGCTAACTCTGAACTCCGAAGGTCTAAGAGCTCGAGATTCGGGAAATTCCCATCGGAAACGTTGGATGAATTCATATCGGGAGGCTCTGAGCTTCGGCGTCCCGAGATCATTTCTGAAAGGATGCGGCCGCAGCCCGATCGAGAGGACTGCCGACCACGAGCACGATCTTTTCTGCAGGGTTCAACTGGCGAGAGCCTCTTTAAGTTCCGGAAGAAGGTGACCGTCAACAATCTGATACAGCTCACTCAATCAAGAAAGTTTCGCGGTGCGCTCCGACTAGCTCCGGCGACAGTGGGAGCCCACCCACCTATCTATCGAGGAAACACCGCGGCACTTTCTCATTCTGTTGGGAAAAGTTCCAGAAGGGAAGAGAAGAGAAAGATTGATGGGGAAAACAAAATACACAAACGAGAACGCACACGCCGCTATCCACGGCGACAAAACCCATGAATGATAAATAGAGGAAATCCTCCGCTTCCCTAATGACCCTTGTGTTGTGAGTCTGAGGTGTTAGTGGCTCAAGGGGATGAGAGATGCTCGACAAGACCGACAGTCTCGCCATTCGGCAAAGACATTCAAACTTGACTAGGTGAGAGCATTAGCAGAACATACATCTTCCTGTCGGTGTCATCCTCTGGCTCCACACTTTCTCCCCTACTGCTCCATGTGCATACTTTCTGTCGCGGGTGAGAGAGACTAGAGCGGTCTTCCGCTTGGAGAGAAACGACGACGATTATCATGTTTGTCTCATGGGATCCGAGACAGCGCTTTCGTGCAAAATATGACGGATTGAAGCTGCTATGGAGCTGTTCCATGATTCTCTTGGAGCGAGGCATACCAATCACGGCGACAGAACGGGTGGGAAAAGACGGGCATTTACAAAAATTAATTGAAAAAGCAAACAACGACAGCAACTAAAGCCATCAGACCAAACCCACGGGTGGTCCGCGAGTGAGAGGTCTCGTTTCCAGAGGACATTAACACCCACTTACGGGGGAAGAAGGATGGGAGTCTCCGGCTCGCAAAGATCGCTTCGACTGCAAGAGTATTTTCAGGCTCTTTCTCTCATCATATATTAAGGGATTTTGCAATACGGTACTAGCTTTCTGTGAAGATTCGCCCAGCCTCAAATGGACACAGGCTCCGTGGCTCCGAGAAAGAGCCATGTCAGTTCTTTTGAATTTTCAGAGAGGAGAAAAATCGAAGACGAAAATCGACTTATTGAATTTGCTCTCGCACACGGCACGATGTTCCCGTCAGTAAATCTTCTGAATGAGCCTCGGTCCACCGGGCAGTCGCCAATCAGTCGACAGGCTTTTGGAGAACTGAATTCAAGCAGCAGCAGAAAGAGAAGAAAGATTGCGCTCGCATAAGAATGTTCGTTGAGCGAGCGTCCGAACGCTGCTGATTTTCCAACGTCATAATCACGTCGGCCGAATGAGCGAACCCGCCAGCCGACCAACTGCTGCTTCGGCTCGTCGTCTGAGGCCCACAGACAGATTCACGAAGTCCGGCGGGGCGAAGCAAACCAGAAGAGTCATGTAATAACTTATTTCGCTCAAGCAGGAGCGGCGAGAGCAGCAGCGGCAGCCGTCTCTTCGGAGAGAAAACAAGAAAAATAGGAAAATTACGAATGGCGCCTCGCTACGACAGGGACCAGACGCCATCTTGGTTCTAGAAACAATTCTGTTGCCCGATCTCCGACATGTATTACGATGCTTCCGATTCTGCGACGAATGCTTCCTGATCCTGTTCAGGTCCCCAGTACGTGCAGTTACT